ATATTATATTTATATTTATATTTATATTATATTATATTTATATTTATATTTGTATTTATATTAAATTATATTATATTTATATTATGTTATATTATATTTATATTTATATTTATATTAAAATTACATTTATATTATATTATATTTATATTTATATATTATATTATATTATATTTTATTTATATTTATATTATATTATATTATATTAAATTATATTATATTATATTTATATATATTATTATATTATATTATATATTATATTATATATTATATTATATATTATATTATGTTATATTATATTGTATTATATTATGTTATATCATGTTATATAATATAATATTATATATTTATTTATTATATTATATTGTATTATATTATATTATACTATATTATATTATATTATATTATCCTATATTATATCATATTTTATTAAATATATATCGTATATATATATTATATATTAATTATGTATATATATATATGTATTAATTATATTTTTCTAGATAGATATTTGAAGCGTAGGTTGGTGTGGTTACAATTCATTCGGTAACTGGATGTAGCTGGTGTATATCCAAGAGGACACTACCTACACCATGCTAGTGGTTATTAAAATCCATCCAAACAACACTATGGTGATCCGAAAATACGTGATCGTCCTGGGCATATCTTTACCCACATGACTGGAGCAATGTTTCTGGGCGAAAATTGGTCTATACACATCTATTCTATACATGGCGCGTATGATAATCTTGAATATCTCGGAAACACAACATTTTTTTGGGGGCTGTGTTGCTTTATATACCCTGATTTGCAAGATAAACCCGATCAAGAATCCATCCGTCCTTGGGGTTTATTGTTGGACGTATCCTTTTGATGATATCAAACGACTTGCCTCAGATGTTCACAGATCAAACAACCCCGTGTTCACATATTGGATTCATGGTAGGTATATCGAACTAGTGAATGGGGTGAACATGAAAAACAAAACAACAAACATCACGGCGGGCACCGCTTTCAAACAATAATCCCAACACATAAATCATCATAAGTTGTGTATAAATGGGCCATTTTCCATAGCTATCTTAGATAGCCTGAGGCCAAAGGCTGGTTGGCTGTCAGCAAGCTGGAGCAACACATGACCCCACACGCCTGGGTGGGAGAAGCACAGTGCGGAGCCAGTTGGGCGCGAAATTTGGGCAGCCTGAGGCGCCAGAAACCGACTATCTACTGGAGAATTGGATGGAAAATGATGAGGGATTGATGTGGATTGGTTTTCTCACTGGAGAGTGTTCGATGGAGAAAATGATGGGTGATGAACATATGTGGATGAAGAACCCAAATCCCATAGTGGAGAATTTTCGATGGGACATGATGAGGGATGAAAATCTGGATGAAGAGCCAGACCCTTGCTTCATTACCCACAAAATACACCAAATAATTCTGTTTCTGGTTGGATATATTATATCCTGAGTATATTCCTACTACAGTATATCCCAATTATAGCCCATTATCAAAACTATACGAGTTCGTTGAACATATCTCATTGGTGTGGTTAGACATAACAAATTCTTGCTGGTAAAAACCTCTGGCTATTGATATACACAAATTCGAGTTGACCAACTTATAGCCAGTTTAGCCAAGTAAGGGGACTTACCTTGTATGGTCAAATCCCATCACATCCCATGATTGATTGGTTATATTGATACCCTCTGGTTATTTAACATAGCCATGGAACATGGCCCATAGAAATAGATGGTTTACCTGTTCAAAATGGTGATTTTCCATGGCTATGTTAAATAACTAGATGGTATACCATATATTAACCAATGATATCACTATCACATCACCATGTTTACTGGTTAAATCCAATCAGAATATAGATAACTTGACAACCCTGTGGGTGGTTATAATACGTACTGCTTCAAACCAATCAATTATAACCCAATCACTATAGATAAGCCAATCAATTGGATAAACAATCCATTAGTTATATCACCATTATTATGGGTTAAACATGGTAAAACCCAATCAGAATGTAGATAATTCATGATAATCCCATGGGTCTATGACCAAACTCCCACTGGTTTTGCCCAACTGGCCATGGGGCCATGGCTGGAGCCCCCTGGGGCCCCCGACTTCGCCACGTCCAAAATGGCCATGGCCGTCAGAACCGCATTGAAGACCTGCCACCGTGCGGTGAGGGATTTGCTTTGTCGCCGTAAGTGCGGTACTGCTAGGGATTTATAGGGAATATCATGGGAATACAATGGGAATATATAATATTCCAAAAAAAATGATGAGAATATAATTGGAATCCAATATAATGGGATACAATATCCTATTTATTCCTATAATGGGATTCCAATATCATGGGAATATCATGTGAATTTAATGGGAGCATGATGGGATATTAATAAGGGATATAGCCATAGCCCATATGCTCCATGGTGCTGGTATGGTTACCTACATTTGGATGATGTTTGAGCTACATGTTGATGAATAATATTACATGGAGCATATGGGAAATGAAACATATTCCCTAGAGATTCCTTCAGTAATCTATATCTAGGTCCCTAGGTAGCTATCTATCAATCTGCCTATTTGATTATCAAGCTATATACAGTAGATAGATATCTGATATCAAAGTATATAGATTTCCCCTTGGGAACATATTTTTGCAATCATCTTCAGCATATCCTGGTGCTGGATCTTGATGAATTTTGAATGCACTGGGGCTCGGTGGCATCATGTCTCCGCGTTGAGGCACTGCAGCAGAATGGATTCTGATAAACTTTGTATAATGACTTTGACAGAGGTTGAGAGGTGTCCTTGAATTTGATAGATTTTAATAGACTTAACTCTAACCCACAAAGTTGTCTTGAACCAACCAACATAGAGATTTTAATCATCAAAATTAGGGTCTAAGCAATAACAAGATCTTTTGTCTAAAATTCTAAAGCACCACAATCCGAATACATAGGGGGCTGTCTATGCATAGAGTATAACTTACTCAAACTCTGGTGTCAGGAGACATGGGGGTAAAGCCAAAGCGCAAAGCAAGAAAAACCATTCCTCAAATACTGGGGATTCAAACACGATTCCCGCCTTGAGGGGCTTTATTATCGAGTTTCATGAGTATATACAGTAATGGCCATGGCTACCAGTTATAACTGGTTATTTCTATGGGATTATACATTCTATAAATGGGGTGGCTTGTTAGTACTTATAACTGATAAGTGACCATAACTGTAAGGTAAGCTTAAGTTATGGCTACCTATCAATTTCATCATGTCTCGATTTGAGAAATTGGAATCTCCACCCCAAAAAAACCCAAGCGCAGGGCGGTTCGCAGTTTGGGATCAACAGTTTGGGTCGTTGGAGCATCCAATATGTTGAGCAAATTAGGGATACCCTCTGGTAAACAGCCACATAACTATGGAAAATCACAATTTTTAATGGGAAAATCCACTATTTCGACTGGGCCATTTTCAATAGCTATGTAACAAATTACCAGAGGGCAACACTTGAGTTATGGCAATGTCTCATTTTTCGTTGGTAAAAGTCCGTGTGTTGAACAAAAACAAAGTAAAGCTAAAACCATGAATAGAACAACACGAAGCGGAGCTATGATAGTTCCTTTCCGAAAGGTAAAAATCTGTCCATCTTTTTCCATAACAATCTATTGAACAAATCAGGAAACATCGCCTCAGGGCTCTCCAGGGATGTGGCCGTCATCTCTCGAATCCTCGGCACCGGAAACCCAAACGATGATCGAATGATCACTGAGTTGGTGCAAATAACTACAGTATATTTCTAATTGGTGGTATACCTACCCCCTGAAAAATATGAATTCGTCAGATTGGATCATCATCCCAACTATTGGGGAAAAAAATCATGTTCCAAACCACCAACCAGATCTTAAATCACCTGTATTTTGTTGCATGTATCTCCGTATATCTCCGTAATATTTGATAGTATTTGGTATGTATACACGTATCTACAAAAAATAGAGATTTATCCATGATTTAAGTTGGTGCTTTTTTTCTTTGCAGCCATGGAATCCATTCGAATCCCAGCTGAAAAAATTGCAGCATGCTAGAGGTATTTAATTATTTATTGGTTGGTGGTGCAATGGGATATATGGGGAATATCATGGGAATATCATGGAAATATCATGGGAATATATACTGGTTGGTGGTGCAATTTCACCATCTTGAAAAATGATGGAGTTCGTCAATGGGAAGGATGACATCCCGTATATTATGGAAAATAACAAATGTTTGAAACCACCAACCAGTTTATATAGATGTTCTTCCCGAAGAAAGAGTTTTCCAACCGAAGAAAGAGTTTTCCAACCACTGGGATCATCAAACAGGGCTGACACCGCGCTTCCGAGTGCTTGGCTCAAGCCATGCGAGTTGCTGAATACCGTCGCGACAAACATGGCTAGCTGGAAAATCTTCAGAAATAGAGGTTTATAGCTGGGACAATGGAAAGCAATCGAACTAAATGCGGATAATTTTCCATAGCCATGTTTGATTAGCGAAGGGTATTTCTTCCTAACATAATATCCAAACAGCAAACCCATATCTGCGAACAATTGTAATCTCTGTCCTATCCTATGCTTCAGCCAGACCAGCAAGATTCTGCACTTTCTGCACAGCGTGTTCTTCTCTGTTTCGCCTTGAAATACGAAACCAGCGGGAAGTGCAATTCCCTTAAAATCTTATTTGAACCATACGTCAGGGTTGGTGCGTGCACAAAGTTTCTCAAAACCAACACAGAAACAACAGGAGTTGTTTTGACCCCAAAACAAAATGGTTTCAAACTATTGCATTTTTCACACACTGAGGGTCAATCCTGACATTGTAACTCGCTCTTTGACAAGTTTCCTGTAAGACAACCTACTGCCTCTACTCTTCCGGTTGCATTTGTGAAAAGCAACAGGTGAACATCATGCTAATCAGTTACCTATGTCCTAATGTTGACGAGATTTTAACCATGACCACTTGACGCATTTGGCGCGGATGATTGCAACTGGAAGCACCGGCGATTGAAAGACATTAAAAGTATATCGAAACCGAGAAAGTCTTTGCTTTCATGACCTGCTCCCCTTCGGTGGTAAGCGCAGCAGTATGCAGCAGTGCCGCGCACATCACTTACAGTAAGGGCTTTCCAGGTTTCAGTTGAGCCAAGTATCCTGTGCTAAAATGGTGATTCCCATTCCCATGACAAAATTGACCCATTCCCAGACCGAAGTTTATAAGTCAACTTAGCTAATTATCGTTCGGGGGGCCTCACCTTGATGAAAATTCCCATGATGATCATCCCCATATGCTCCATGTAATATTCATCAACATTGACCTCAAACATCATCCAAATGTAGGTAAATATACCAGCACCATGGGTTGCATCTGGGATCATTATTTCCATATGATTCCCATGGCCGTGGCGATTCCCAGTCGATTAAAGATCTATATGGGTTATATCAGTATATCCCATCATGTTCCCATCATTTTTTATGGGATGTGATATATAATATATATATATATTCCCATGATATTCCCATGATATTTCCATGATATTCCCATGATATTCCCTATAAATCCCTATAAATTCCCATGACATCCCATGATCCTCGACATCTTCGCTGCCCTCAGGAGGTCTTCGCTCGTTTCAGCAGACGACTTCGTAACTCCGCGGCGGGCGCCTTCTGCATCTCCTGTGGAGAGATGTGGGACGGTCCAGTGTCCGGCATAGAAAGAACTGCTTAAAAAATAGTTTTTATCTATAGTACTTACTATATCAAATGAAAAAAATACATATATTAACTTGGAATATGTGTGTATAAGAAAATTTATTATTAATATATCATAATATATCTACTAATGTAGTACCATAGATCAAGGGCCTCTTTGAAAGAACACTAACTAGGATTCTCTGGTCCGAAAATGGAGCTGGCACGAGCTGACACGAGCTGGTCGCCTCCAAGATGTCGTCTTGGTCCAGGAATCCACTCCGAAGCAAAGCCAGGGCCTTGGCCATATCCATCTTCTCCAGCACGCCTCAAGAGTCGATCAGTCCAGTGGCGTGGAGACTTCGTCTCCCTACTTTTGTCCTAGACTGGGGATGACAAGATCTGTGTTTTTTTTTGACAAAACACATCGGAGTCATGAAATTCAACACAAATTGCTTCTGAAATGATCAAACTTGATCATGAAAAGTCATGAAAACATCGGAGTCAGGAAAGCAATTTGATCAAACTTTCAGTCAGCGACTTGCTATGTCTAGCCGCTTCAACCAATGACATCCAATGACCATGCCCCAAATTGACGACGAAGACTCCTGGCCTTCCAGGCGGCCACAAAGCAGTGAAGCATCGAAATAGAAATGGCTGAATTGGTAGGTCCCAGTTGTCACATCAATTAGACATTCCCAAACATAACCAGTTCGAGTGACTACAGTCATGGCCATTTACCACTTTTATAACTAGTTATTTCAATGGGATTATACATTCTATAAATATATAAGTACTTATAACTGATAAATGGCCATAACTGATAAATGGCCATTTTTGGTGAAATCCTTATCAAACCCAGCCGTAGCGATGGGCCGCGGTTTTTCGCCGGGTGGCAGGCTGCGTCATAATATTCGCAGTCAGCGAGTATGGTCGCCTCGGGGTCTTCTGTGGTTTGTCAGTGGAGGTGCAAATCACACCATGGTACTTAACCATCTATAACTGGTAAAAATACCAGGTCACTTAACCAACTGGAGGTATTTAACCCAGTGAACTACACCCTGTATTTACTGTAACCATGGAGGTGTTTAACCATGTCATGGTTACATATGGTTAAATATGGTTGCACACTGTTAGATAAATACATATGGGTATGTATGCCTATATACGGTTACATTGCATATGCCTACGTATGGGTTTTCATGGTTTATCCGAAACAATGAGGTATATCACATATACGGTATGGGTATTATCATTGCTATGTAAATATGAATAGGCTTCATGGTAGATGTATCGAATCAGTCGATGAGTTTTATAAACCAACTTATACCTTAGGAGTACCACCGTCTAGGTTTATCACTGCTTACGTGCATATACAAGTATATATATATGAATGTATACACATGCAAATATAAATATGTGGTTGTATGGGTCTATCCAAAACTATTCCTGAGGTATGTGTTTATATGGTATTGATATTATGTGTGCAAATATAGAATAAAAATGTATACAGTGATGTGTCACCAATCGATGATATATGATGGGTTAGTAAATCGCACTGCGAACATCTGCAAACTGGTTCAACTGTTTAAACCATATATAATAAACAATGATAGTGGGTCATCTGCGTATTAGCAGTACCAATCGATATACCAATTGATTTTTTGGATAGCATGTCAATTATAAACATGGGGATGGGTCAAAACCCTGGCACCTAGTGAACCCCAAAATAGCTGGTAAATGTGGATGTTCATCCCACTAAAAATGTATCTATAGGTATTGACCCATACCCACATGGGTTAATTCAAAAATTAACGGCCCACAGAATTGTTTCTTTTTTGTAGTATTCAACCATCGATTTTGGAGCGCATTGATACATGTTCACCCACATGGGTATAGACCAACGAGAATAGACATATGGGGATGGGTCAAAACCTTGTACCCCTGGTGAACATCAAAATAGCTGGTAAATGGATGTTCATCCCACTAAAAATGGTATGTATAGGTATTGATCCATACCCATATTATCCGCCAAACATGGAATATGGACCAAAAAGAACATGTGGTCTTGCCAGCAAGACGTGGCGAGACAAACCAAATGATACCAAGTGTACTTTTTCTGTAGGTTGAAAGCCCAAACAGAAGATGTGGTAGAGCAAATGAAAAATACCATGTGATCTTTTCGGGGGCTGGACTCACAATTCTCAATGAATGAGGCTATTGCAAAAAAACCAGACCCATGGAAGCGGCTGGCCCGCAAGAGATGTTAATCAATCTTTACCCTCTGGTAAACTAACATAGCTACTGAAAATGGCCCAGTCGAAATAGTTGATTTACCCATTAAAAATTGTGATTTTCCATAGTTTGTTGTTAATTTACCAGAGGATAAACAGCTTTGTTAACCATCCATTTCTGGCAAAGCCTCAGGACTAAAAAACCCATCGTTGCATCGATGGTTTTGGCAGCGGACCGCACATCCCATGTGGAGCTCCAGGTAAGAGCACGATCACTTTCAGGCGAGACGTTCGAGGAAAACAACCCATTCCAGCCCCACTGGAGGCGGTCTAGGTGTTTGCCAAACGTGCTGTTTTACCACTTCACACTATATACACTATGGCCACTATGGCATTATTCCTCTTCAAAAGAACCACCTGGACCGAAATGTGATGAAATGTGGGTCAACCAAAATCACCACAACAAAACACAATCGAATTAATACTCAACAACCAACACACAAACAAAAACCAAAAAAAAATACAACTCCATTGCCATATAGTCTTCCCTTCGAACGTCATGCTGCCACTCATGCTGCCACCAAAAAACCGCATCGGTCACCTTGAGCTTCGATAAAATGTCCGCAGATTGGTCGTATTCCAATTCGGACCTCGTTTTCAAGGAGGAAAACACATCGAAAAAACGGATGTTTGTGAGATATGTGTCTAATTATGTGTATATTATACATGTGTAAAAATATTATATAATAAAATAACAATTACTAATTATATTGCATATGCCTACATATTATGCATGTCTATTTATATATATATAATGTAATTAATATATATATGTACAAATTAATTAATAAATATATATATATAATATAATATAATATAATATAATATAAATATAATATAATATAATATAATATAATATAATTATATATATATATATTATAGTTATATGTATATATATATATGCATACACAAGCAGAATTGGATAGATGTGCATGTAGAGACCCAGAGACCCCGGTCAAAATCGCCACACCAAACAGACTGTGGGATGTGCACCCAGGAATCGTTAATGACTTACGATGTGGGGCGCCCGTTTACGATAGCCAAGTTGGTGCAAATAACTCCAATAACTATATGGTTTATCATACATATAACTACAGTATTCATGGGATTTAGAAACAAACTTATAACTGGGGGGGGCCCCACATTGTATAATCCACGTAGAATTAGTGAATATCCCATTTGTAGCTGGGGTTAACATGTCAGAAAACATATCCCCATTGCAAAAGATATTCAGTTGCACTAAACTATCCATCCAAGGCCTTTTTTCTGGACAACCTGCCTACTTGGAAACGCTACAACAAGGTGCATCCTGTTTAGTGAGTGGTTCATAACCTACATATGTATGTAAGCCACATCTAACTGGGGATCTTCAACTTGCAACTGCGACAATAAAATCATGATGATTCTGGGTGAATTAGAAATTCACTGACCTGAATTAAGGCTTTTCCTTGGGATAATCATCCTAACCATCATCTATGAATCTATGGTGTGGTCACGCAGTGAGGTCGTGATTTCTTTTTTGCCCAGATAATTCCCATAAACTTTAACTGGTATTATCTAACACATGGAGGTTTTTTTTTTTCCATCTTTCATTGGGATCACCCCTGGAGCTTGTTCCACGATGCCCGGGACATCACATCCGCGTAACACGAGGCCACTGGCGTGGGAGGTGTCAAAGAGGGACATCAACCTTGGACGAAGCTTCACCGGCCGCAAGGCCCTGAGGTGTTACCAGGGCTGTCAGTAAGTCACCACATGGCCACATGGTTCATAATAACTCCATTTAAATCAATATCGCTGGGAAATATATATATATAACTATAAATTAGATTCATAATATAATCCCATTTATGGAATAATAACCCCAGATAATCCTCATTAATTTTAACCAGTTGTAAGCATTTATGGCTGGTAAAGGGTTTTATATGAGTGTTCTGGGGTTGTTTTTTCATAAATGGGGTGATTTGCTGACTTATAACTGTTTTTTTTGGGCCATAACTGTACCACCATAGTTTATCATCATTTTTTGCCATTCTTCAGTGAAAAAAACTCGGCGCACCCTCTAGGAATCAAGCATGGCAATGAACAAATCTACCATGATTTTCTCATTAAACAATTCATTTATAACCCTGACGCCCCCATGTCATGGAACATTTTACCAACATTTCGCCTAAAAATCACTCAGTATTCTATGGAAGATATAGGAATACATGGAGATTTTCCAACATTTACCCTAACAAAAATCACCCAGATTTCCACAATAATGGAGGGGCCGGTTTGGTATACCATCTATCATCACCTGTTGTCAAAGGGGTTTCTTCAACCCCCTCTATTTTCATCAACCTACCAATGAGAAAAAGATGGGAAAAGAACATCTATGGATTTCCATCTACCATGCAACATCCCAGATTCCGCCATCCCCACCGTCTGCCAAATTCGGCTCTTCGGCGGTGCAAGGAGCTTGGCGGCAAACTGATGCCCCATCCCCGACACGATGTGTGCCGCGGTGCTGGTATCCAGGTGACCCAAAATGTCCTCGATGATTTCTTGGTGTCATGACGCTGGGAATTGTTGTCACGTTTTAACGGAAAAAATCATGGGGAAATTCATGGGAAAATATAGGAACCTATGGGAAAATGTAGGGAAATACCCTATCAACGGAGGTTTTGAGTTGGGAAATCGAACTCACCGGATTTTCAAGCCAGCCGAGGACCGGAGGCTATGTCTAGTGGGAAAAATGATGATGATCCAGTGGAGAAATGTGAAGCATTTGACCCAAAGTGCGAAGTAACTACCATACAGTAAACTAGGTAAACCATCATAAGAATCATAACGAAAATCACTATTTTTCAAAGGTACATCAGCGCACAAAATGATCAATTGTTCATAGATATGCTAGTTTCAATCACCTGGATGTCGTTCCTCATCGTTTCTCATCATTTTCCATTGCCATACAAATCTGGGATCATAATCTATACCCTCTGGTTATTTAACATAGCCATGAAAAAACATCATTTTTAATAGGTAAACCATCTATAAATGGGCCATCTATACCATGGCTATGTTAGTCATAACCAGAGGGTAAATGTGGGATTTCCCAGCAAACCATGTTTGAGTACCCGAGAGATCCAAATGGTATTAACCACCAGAATCCGTGGCCCATCTCAGATACCCTGCAAACAATTGTTGGCATCAACTATATATATATATATAACCAAATTTAAACCAAAATTTCAAAATAATAGATATCTAACTATACTAAATATAAACAAATGTTCATTTAGTTAATATTAAAATATATCAAATAACTACAGTACATGTGCCACATTTCAAACCCAAAATAGATCATAATAGATTAATCATAATAGAGTATATATATATATATATATAATCATATAGACAAAAGTCAGTAAACTACACCCAACCTACAATTTACCAAGGATTTACCATGTCTTTCCCGAGTAGTCACCACAAAAAGGCCGAGGTTCTGCAGTGTGTTCCGGCTCAAGATATTCGAGAACTGCCTCCACGTCTCCTGTGCCATGATGAGTCATGGGGTTGACCAACAAAGTATGGGAATTCTCCTATTACCAACTTAAACATTAAGAAAACATTGATCCAGCTAGCATATTCCCTGTTTACCAACGTTAACATTATACAAATTTATAGAATATTGACCCACTCAAATGAAAAAAATATTGAAGATGAACCAAGAATAAACTCGTTGGTGGTTCCCAAACCATCCCCAGCCTCTGAGTCACTTGGGCATTCTTCTCCCGAAGAAACCGGGGGAACATTAAACAAAACATCCACATCCGCCATGATAGGGACTTCATCATCAGGATTTGGTTTTAACCAACAGAACCAATATTGGACAAAATGAACAAGAAAACTATGAGGTTTGCTGTGAACAACAAAAGGATATATCAATGGATTGGTGTAAGGGGAACATATATACAGGAACCGATTGTTTTTACCATGAAATTTAAGGTTGTCCTGCAAAATTTCCCTTAAACCTATCCAATATATATATATATATAATTGTGCATCTTATATACAGAATTAATTAAAAGTATATATATATGTTACACACCAAAAGGGGTTCAGTGAACATTGAAAATTCATAGGTACTATCTTGTACTTGTGGCGTCCTGAGTCCTACGACTCCAGAGTCCCACACGCCTTCGCAAGGACTTCTTTCCCAGTCAAACATGATCAATAACTTGCATGATTTGGTTGTCCTCCATTTTGCGGGAAATAGCCAATGAACCGCAATAATGACCACAATATATATATATATGTATATTTATATAATATTATATATTATATATATAATTATATATAGAGATTGTAACCATCATAATCAGCCATTAATTTTTCCCCTAGTGAAATGGTCGTAGTCCTCTGATAAACTAACAGTTCGATGCGAAAAAGCCGCCATTAACAATTCCATTTGTTTATCCGAGTTTCCAGCTCGCCACGTTTGATTGCCAGAGCGTTATTAATCGCTATTAATCACTACTAATATCATTAATCACAACTATGAATCATGATTAACCATGATTAACCACTATTAGTCGCATTTTTGACACACCTCCACTGGTCCATTTAGGTTTTCGACGAGGCACCGTCCCACTCACAGACCACGTACGAGGCTTCTTCTGGATCCTTGGAGTTGTCAAGTCTTGAATTTTGAACCATAAGCTATTTGATGGTTGTTTAGAAGAGCTCAAGACACCATGTCCAGTCTTTGATGGTTTGGGGGGTATTGATTCTTGCAATAGTTTGTATGATGATATACAGTAGCCAACATAAAAACAAAAAACAACAAAATATCTAATCAACGAAGCAAAGGAATAGAACAACGAAGCTAGAACAAACAGCTAAACCATTTCTAGTTCTTCATGGTTCAAGCATGTTTAGGGCTTATTGTCATTAATTACAGTACAATGTGGGGCCCCCTAGATAGCTAAGTTGGTTTATAACTCCAATAACTATGGTTTATTGTACTTATAACTATAGTATTCATGGGGTTTATAAACCAACAAACATCACTGGGGGGCACCACATTGTAGCAAACAGCAAAGCCGTGATCAACAAAGCTACTGAAAATTGGGCCAGGACTTGGCAAACACATCAGTGGGTGATCTGTTGGCAAAAAAAAAATCCTTGAACTTTAACTGGAGGTTTAATGGGAAATCCACTATAAATGGAGGTTTAATTGGGAAAAAACAACTTTAACTGGTTGGTGGTTGAGCCCAACCCCTCTGAAAAACATCCGTGAACTTTACCTTCCGGTGTCATCACTGGCAAGGGAAAAACAACAACTATACTGGTTGGTGGTTTCAACCAACCCCTCTGAAAAATATGTTTCTTCGTCAGTTGGGATGATGACATTCCCAATATATGGGAAAAACAACATGTTCCAAACCACCAAGCAGCTATATTGTTATTCCAATTATTTACCATTATTAACCATAGATTAAGCATAGATTAACCATTATTTACCATAGTAAGGCCTTGTGATTGGCAGAAAATGGCGCACCCATCTGCCAAAAAACCTCATGATCACCATAGATCATCTGTCCGGATGTTTCATGCCACGAGCCACGTGGGGCATTGAAAACCCACCAAAATTGCTTGGAGACAGGGCTTCAAGGATTCGACCCAGAGGGATCTTGAAGCTCTAGGAATATCAATATCAGCGTAAAAAATACATATCTTAACAAATTCATCTACCTTATCTGTCTAGTGTTAAACAGAAAATGCATCCTAAAGTACAGTGATACTATCTACAACTGTTTAGATGTTGATTTGTGTTGTGTTAAGATATCTGACTTTATGAATTCATGGTTCTAGTGTATCTGTTGTATTTACCTACCTATGAACATCCTCCCGGAAACATCCCTTCGTGACGGAGTTCCATGGCGCCCAAGATATGTGCTGCCTGGTTTTCGTCCATGGGCGACCTGAACAATGGGACACTGTAAGGTTTCAACCAACCATGATGTTGTAAAAGGCTGTAAAGCCCAATCCAAAACTGATTTCGCCGGGCTTCTGATTCTTGTCTCTTTCTAATACCATATAATACATATACAGTTATGGCCATTTAACAGTTATAAGTACTTATAACCCCATTTATAGAATGTATAATCCCATTTATAACCAGTTATACCTGGTAAATGGCCATAACTGTATTAATTGAATTCCAAGGTTGACCTTGGTATAAAGTCAGAGATGGGGAAAAATGCGGAACCGCGATCTCAGTGAAACCTCAGGATTTTGCTGGAAACAACTTGGATTTGACATGTCTTTACCCATAGAGAATACCTATAGTCCTTACACCCCATAAATTGATGTAAATTGTACCTACCCATCTGGGCAAATAAAATAAAAGTTCACCAATCAAACTCCATGTTCGGGCACTTTGGAGATGGTTTCCGTTATCCGATAACTACTAAAGCAACCTGTCTATTCATCTTACAAGTAAGGAATTAGCTACTATTTCGGGTAAAGGTAAGTTCCCAACCAAACTCCATCATGTCAAAACCTCCTACAGTTACAGTTTTTTACTCATAACTGGTGTCTATCTTCATGGGGTGATCATTCCAATGGGGTAACTTACAGCCATGCTGTTCCGTTGAAACCGAGCGGCAGAATGTTGGCTTGATCCGCATAGTCGAGGTGCTGCAGCATGGCTGCAGCCTCCTCCGAACCTGATCCGGAAACGTCATGACTTGGATGATTTGGGGTACCCGGTTTTTAGTGTTCACATCGCTTGAGATCATCATTGTTTTAACCCTCAAAAGCCACAAAAATCAACAAACTTCGAGTTGTTCTTCGGGTTGAAACCCACACAATCATGGGGATGAAACCGGAACATCTTCGCTGAAAACCGGGATTTCAGGAAACCAACCTTGATACGGGAAACCTTGTGTGGCCTACCAAAACCTTTTCTCTGGGTGGGAGATTGTGCTTCCTTTACTAGAATGCCTCAAGAAGCCAGCAATGCAGCAACCGAACCAGGATTTTCCCAAATGACAATCACCCTCCCATAAGCTCCATGGCTTAATTTACCTACATGATCCTATATGACTGGGCAATTTCAGGCTAAATCTTGGTAAGTATATATACTGGTTGGTGGTTGAGCCCAACCCCTCTGAAAAATATGTTTCTTCGTCAGTTGGGATGATGACATTCCCAACTGAATGGAAAGTCATAAAATTCATGTTCCAAACCACCAACCAGTATATATATAGTTCATATGGAGCATCATGGCTTGAGTTTCTAACCTTGGCTGCGCAAGCTCGCACAGTCCCAGCAAATGTGGCTGGAGGATGACACACGCGGTGAAAGGTTGGTCTTCACAGTGCCGTTCTCTGCAAATTCTTGAATCTGGCAATAGAAATACCCTCGGGTAAACAAACTATAAATGGTGATTTTTCATGGTTTAACAATGGGTTAACAATGGTGAAGAATGGGATGATAATGGGATATACCCTCTGGTTATGTCAAAATAGCTATTGAACATGGCCATAGAAATAGTTTCCCATGAAAAATGGGTGGATTTTCCATAGTTATGTAAACGTTTACCAGAGGGTAGATAGAATTAGATAGAACTCATCAGTTTCAAGTTTCAGCTTCATCAAATGATGTTTCATGCCACATTTTCTGTCATCGAATCGATGTCATGAGATTGCTATGTCATACATCTCCTGCTTCCAAGCAACCATTCACTTCGCTGACGATCCGGCAGCCATCCTCAGCTTCCAGCTGATCCAAAATGTAGCCCGCATCCTGCCCAGGTGCTATGGGATCACCGGGATGGTGAGGATTTTCAAAATCAGCAGATGAAGCAGATGAATTCTCATCATGTGGTGATTATTATTGTTATAATATGTTATAATGACTGAAATATATTATGATTTATAATATTTATGATGATGATAATGAACTTGGTTGTTTTCCATGAATGACTACTAAAAATCCCCTGATCAATTCACCATGTTTAGATATGCAACTAGTATGTGTAAATCATCTAGAAAATGAGCCATTTTAGCTAGCATAGCTATGTAAAAAAATAAACCACAGTGGTATGGAGTTGGGAACTGAGTTCTCTGATGGAAACTAGCTGCTTTTTATCCTCCTGATTGTTGTGACTGACGGCCTGGATTGAGAACTTATCGTAAGTAGAACACAAACCAAACAGCAACGAAACCATTTCCGGACATCATTACCTAACAGTGTATGGGATACCCTGGGATACCAATGTTCTTTTTTCCCATGAACCAATCATTCATCAAGAATTCAGCATCAGACGTTTCCCTTTTTCCCCCGGCCTCATCGCTCAAGTTCTCCAAGATGTATCCCGCATGGCTGGAATCCATCAATTTCAATGCTGCAGCGGAGACCTCGTATTCCTTGGCGGGCGCGTTCAGGGAAGTGGTGTCGCTGCGATGTAAATATGGTGAAACTCTGGGGCTAGAGCTGGGAGATCATGATGAAATTACATTGGGCGCTAGATAGGACTTGGACGTTACTCGACAATTTCAGGATCCTCTCTCATAGGTTCTGTCCAAAAAAGTGGACATGTTCAGTGATATGATGATATTGAAACAAACAAATACTGGTTGGTGGTTTCAACCACTCTGAAAAATAAATATGAGTTCGTCAGTTGGGATGATGACATTCCCAATTCATAAAATTCATATTCCAAACCACCAATCAAATAATATACATATAATGTATATATATATATATTATATAGTATCATACACTATTGTTATTATAGTATCATACACTATTGTTATTATAGTATCATACACTATTGTTATGTTCCAAACCACCAATCAGAATATATCTCATGAACTTCTGGTTGCAAACTACCTGCCGGCAGGTTTACCATCTCGGTCAACTTCACCGAGTTCCAACATCCCTGTTGAATCTTTCATTGGCCTTGAACTTGCCGAAACCATCAGAAATATAGAACACGACATCGCCGTGTTTTTCTCCATGGTTTTCTCCATGTTTTCTCACGAACTTCGCCGTGTTTTCCATGTTTTCTCTATCTGGTTGGTGGTATACCTACCCCCTCTGAAAAATATGAGTTCGTCAATGGGAAGGATGACATCCCATATATTATCCCATATATGAAACGGAAAATAATCCATTCATGTTTCAAACCACCAACCAGCTATGTTTTCCCCGTCCGTTTTCTCCATCAACGTTTTCCCCGTACGTTTTCGGCACCCCCGCATGGCTCGCCCAAGTCTCTAAATGTCCAATGATTCCAGCGGCCGCTTCGGCTTCCATCTCATCCAGAGCCTGAGATGTTCCCGATCCCCGGCTTCCAAGAGCGGCTCGGTTTTTCACGCACCAAATCCCTGGTTTTTTGTTTGAAGCGCCCATAAATCATGGTCATGTTTGACGAAACAATAACAATTATAGCTATTAAATCATGGTGTTTGATGACAACAAAACCATTTATAGCCTTATAGCTATTGAAGTGCCCGTGAAAACCGTAAACAAATCAGCATTTTAGCTCTAAAAACTGCCCCATGTTGAGACAACCAACGACAACGAACACCATGCCTCTGCAGCACATTCCTCTGTGAGATGTTCAAAGATCTCGGCAACCTTTGCATAGGACCTCAGGTTTAGATCTGTGTCTGAAAATTGGGTATTAATAATAGACTGGCATAAAATCATTCTAGGGTATATTCTTGGGTATATTAGGGTATATGATATTATACGTATGCAGATTATTATTGGGTGTATATATATATAATGTGTATATATATATATACAGTATGCAGGTAGCACCTTCTTCCTTTGGGGTATCAACCCGTTACTGGCTTACAAGCCGGCGTTTTTCCCTTTCAAGTCTTGGAACTGTAGAAGTTTCCCCTCCACACTCGAAGTCCACTATGATGGCTAAGCAATCAACCCTGGGTCTAATGAGTGCGTCCGAGAGGCTCTATCTCCTTTTGATCCAAAGTACTGCATGATGTCACTAAGTGAGTGCCAAGTCAGTTGGGTGCGAACTTGATAAACCAACATCCCCGGGACCCCGCAGATTTTCCTCGTCTTGGAAGTTTCTGGCCACTGGTTGATTGTTCTCCTTCTCATCTAATGGGTCTAATCCTTGTTTCTTTCGGTTCTTGGCGGACATCATCTTGGGGTCATCTACAATTTTCCAACACTGACCTAGATGATAGAAACGCTGAATCTGGTGATGTTCATGGTCCTTCGTCATGGAGTTTGCAAGCTGAGCATCACTGTTTACCCATCGAACTGGCAGTTTTGTATTCACTAGTGCTTCTTTGAGTCCTAGCATTTCCAATGCAACTCGATTTTCAGGTCCTTTTGGAACATAGATTTCCGTCTTCATCCGATCATACACATTTGTTGAGTCCGTCACTAAGACCCCGGCCACTTTGGACACCTGTCGCTCGGTGTCACGCACATGGACCTTGTTTCCGCTCATCTCATAGTACTGAAGGCGCACAGCGTACATGATGTCCTCGCAGTTTATCGCTGCTAGGCTCTCTGCTGCTCCTGGGGATCGGCATTGTCTGCCAATCTTTGACGAGCTCCAAGACACCGGTGACACCTTACATAGCTGTCCGGTCAGCAGACTTTTTTGAGGTTATCCCTATGAAAATCCCCTGTGTGCTCTTTCCATCCACTCTGTTTTGTGCCGCTGCATCTGCCCAACCTGCTATCAGTGTGTCATGCATGCCTATGCCTCCATGTATGATGAGTTTGTGTTTCCTCTGGCATTTCGTCTTGTAGATCAGTTTGTTTGTCTCAATCAGCGTCTCAATAGTACTGCTATTTACCTGTGACAACAACAAACTCACCCCCGCTGCTATATGCGGGCATGTCTGTTGGGCACTCCATGCTAATGCCCCCAGCGCCGCCCGGAGGCGGGTTTTCTCCAAATCACTCGTCGCTGACTTCGGTTGTCGGCGCCTTTCTGCATTGATCTGGATCTCCTTCAAATCATCGATATACTGTGTTTGACCTAGAGAAAACCCTCCACATGGCAACCTTGAAATCTCCACTCCGCACTGAATGAAATTATCCTTTTCCCAAGTTCCCCACTTGAATCGCTCCTGAATCTTCTGGCACAACCATTCCCATGTTTTACATCCTGACAACCCACAAAAAAGAAAATCGTCAACATGTCCTCCTACCAAACCAATAAGTATTCCATTCTCAACAAACTTGAAGCAACATGGGTCACAAACGCATTTCTCAAAACCAATTGACACCAAAAACTCCGACACCGTGAGGAACCACTCTAATGGTGCATCTACCAAACCGTAGCAGGCCTTCTTCAGCCGAGTCACTGATCCTGCAGGTATGCCCATGGCATCGCAGATGTCATCTGTGGGAATCACAAATGACTCCCCTTGATACTCTCGACCCTGTAGGAATGCCCCTGAGACATCCCCTTTCCACACTCCAAAACCAAGGCTCGCTGACACGGCGAGCATGACCTGCCTTGAGGTCCTTGTCATTGTCGGTGAAGCTACTTGGCGGTGTTCGTACTGTGGGTCCATGTACCCCAAAATCACACATCTTGCCTTTGCCTTCTGTCCTCCTGCCTCATCTCGTTTCCAGGTCAAAATCCATCTCATCCGCATTGCAGTCTGTTTGTCAGGCTGTAAATGGGTTGGGATGGCTTCCAGTGCTTTCGCGCTGATGAAGTTCTTGATCTCCACCTGCTTGGCCTCTGTCATTTTCTGTTTTTCCTCAGGATTCAAATATCTTTCGTTCACTTCAATGGCTCTTTTCCGGATTTGTGATGTCAGATATGATTCAAAATTATCTCCTAAATGTCTCCATCCCCGTTTGGTCTCAGGCATACCTATTTCCACTTCAACTGCTGCTGTTTCCTGCGCCCAAAAGGATTGAGCATACTCATCTTGGAAATGTTCTGGCATGTCCTCCCACACATGTTGATGTTTCACTGCCAAAGTCGCTTGTGCTTGCCCGCCTGAGCTGGATGCCGCCTCTGTTGGCGGAGGACATTCAGGAACTGTTCTCTTGCTCCTGATTCTTTTGAAGGGTCTCATTGTTTCTTCATCCACCCCTTGTTCATATTCCATGACATTTGGGACTTCATCAGTCACATCGTCATACTGTCTTACCCCTATGTCATCGGCCAGTTTTGTGAACGTCCATGGCAAATTTGGGGGATTAATCAGTTCTTCCATGCATTCTTCCCTGACAGAAGCCTTTCGGAGTTGTTCTGGGACAGCCTTTATCAGTCTAGAACCCCTAACCAGCCACACTACCGACCCTGGTCTATAGTTACCTTCTGCCGTTAACCGAGTTTCAAGCGCCAGCACTCGAGCTGGTCCAGTGAAACCACCGGTACGACCGGCACTACCTGGTCCCTTAGTCTGGACACGCCAAACATAAACCAAGTCGCCAGGTGCATAGCTGGTCACCTGATAGGTTCTGGTGTTCTTGGCTCTCTTGATCCTTTCATTGGCTACCCACTCTGAAAAAGCCTGTTCTGCATTTCTCATACGCTCTACGTTTCTCCTATATTCACCATTCCCATTCTCACACAACACGGGGGGGACTTCCAAATGTTCACTTTCAAAAAACCTCCCAGCTGCGTCTGGTGCCCGTCCTAGTGCATGTTGTGCTGGAGAATATCCTCGTACCACCTCTCGTTCGTTCTCCACTCGGATGGCTTCTGACAGTGCCTCGGCCGCTGTGATTTGTGGATCCTCAGCTGCCAGGCGGTACATGACATGTTTCGTGGCTTGTATGGCTCTTTCTACATGATTTGTGTTCCAGTGTGCTTCGGCAGGGATTACGTCAACTTCCACATGAATATTTTCGAAGTATTCGCTAACTTCGTTTGACCTCCAAGATCCTGCCGGGTCCAACCTCACCTTGTCTGGTTTTCCAAACACTGGTTTCCATTGTTCCTGAAAAAAACTCACCAAGTCTTTTGCCTTGACACCTGAGCCCTTGCCTACACTCATGATTTTTCCAATTCTGAACCGACATCCTTCATCTATTAAAAGAGTAAATTGGACCCGCTCACCGGAGTGAGGATGAATTCAATATGCATTGCCCAATAGACTGGCTAAGACAAAAATTTGTCTAATCCCTATTCTGTAGAAATTGACTATTAGGTAGATTTTTTTTTGTCTAAGACAACTTTTTTTTGTCTAAGACAAATTTTGAAAATTTGTCTTAGCCAAAAAAAAAGTTGTCTTAGACCAAAAAATATTTGTCTTAGACAATTTTTTTTGTCTTAGACAAATTGAAACTGCCTCAGATTTTCTTCAAACTGCCTCCAAACTGCCTCCCAAACTGCCTCCAAACTACCTTATCATTTTTCCATCATTTTGTGGAGGGTGTGCAAAAAGTATCAAAAAGTAAGAGAAATAGTGAGGCAGTTTCCCCAAAAATCACCAAAAAAGTGAGGAAGTTTCCCTTTAAAACATGAGGTAGTTTGAAGGCAGTTTCACAAAACACACGAGGAAGTTTCAAGGAAATTTCCTCGAAACTTCCTCGTGGAGGGTGGGCAAAAAATCTGACTTAGACAAATTTATTTGTCTAAGACTCGTGTCTTAGACAAATTTGTCGAGCAAAAATTTGTCTAAGACAAATTTTTAAAATTTGTCTATTAGACAAATTTTAAAAATCTGACTATTAGACAAATTTTTGTCTTAGCCAGTCTATTGGGTGTCAGCTTGCAACACTTTCCACTTTGGTGGCAACGGCTCCAAAGACACCTGTGGCCTTGGGACCCGCCTGGAGCATTCCCGGCACACATCACACCGATATTCCCTGGCCAGTTGCACAATACGAGGATCTGTCTTCCTGGCTTCTAGTGCTCGCACCAGGTGTTCGAGTGGTCCATGTCCTGTGTTTCTGTGTATGGTGGCTATGTCTTTCAGGGCCTTGTCTCTCTCTTCCAGTGTTAAAGGTCCTTCGGGATTATCCCCCTTATTTATCCCCACTAAGCTTAAGGGTTCCCCCTTTTCATGGCCCATCTCACACAGGTTGCACCTCAGCTCACTTCGCGGGTGTGTCACGACGTCACATGAGCATCCTTTCGTTTGCCCCAGAAATTCCTTCGGAACCCCCGTGTGTCCTGTGACCTCCGCTCGGAGGTCCTGACTTCGAATGTCCTCCAGGATGGTCTTGCAAACCCTTCGAGCAAAATCATCAGTGTAGTATGCAGATTCTCTTGTCATACGTCCTTGACATGGCGCATGTGGTCCCCTACACGTGCATGGCAGTGACATGTTATGTGACAGCAGGTCATGTGTGGTGGCGAGTTTCCAACCCTTTTGCAGTGGCATCCGTGTTTTCAAGTCCCTCAAATTAACCCTGCATCCCTTGACCACACAAAACTTTGGGGAATATTTTCCAAAAACCCTTTGGACCATTGGCAGTCTCCATGCATCGTTTGTTTCCGACCACTCCCATGTCACTGGCACTCCATTCTGACAACAGTGCATGTACACTAACAGTCCACCGATGTACTGTCTGATGCAATTGTTTCGTTTCTGTTTCAGTTCCTCTCGCTGTTTCTCCGTTCTCTGGTTGACGTTCTGCATCTTTGAGAACGGCCCGCACTCCAAGCTCAGCCACACATGGCATGGTTTTTCCTTTTCGATTTTACTGATTACAGCCCTGACACCTAGACTCGTAGTCATGTCATATCCATTCCAAAAGGACAATCTTTCTGCACTTGAGTCCCGGCCGGTCAGCTGCCTCATTTTTGCTGTGAGCAGGGAGTCTGGTCCACATGCTACTTCGAACAGCGCTGCTCTGCCGTGTGTGACAAGCGATTGGAAAGCATCAGGTACCAGGCGTTCGGCCTGAAAGTCAAACTGCCGGGCTAAATGTACATCCAGAGGCTTTTCCCTGGTCTCCAAGTCCCATGCTTGGCTCATAGGATCCTCTCCTCGAGCTACCATCACTGTGGGTTCGTCATTGTCTCCCAGTCGCTCGAAGAAACTCCGTCCGCGGAACTGTTGATCTTCCGACGGGATTCCTTCTCCTCCTTCAGGCTCTGCACTTCCTTCGCCAACATTCCCACCACTGCAGTCAGCTGGTCCAGTTGAGGACTTGCTGTCATGTTCTGGTCGTTGACCTCCTTGGAACCTTTGGCCTTCGACATCCGTCGGTAGCCCTTCTGGCTTTCCATCGCCACTTTGGCTCTGTCTGCTGGGTCCTGTTGATCCAGCCATGCTGCAAAGCGTTGGAGCTTCGGGCAAGTTGGCCCTTCGCTGGCAGTGGTCTGCACCCACTGACAGTAATCTGGCTCCTGGGCATACACCTCGTGGTACTTCTTGTTGGCATGAAGTCCGAATCCTACCCAGTCCTGAGGGTGAGCTGCACAAGTGCGGTATGCCGCATCCAGAGCCTTCACCTTGAGGACCTCGATGGTCTCGTTGCCAGTCAAATTCGCCGGCAACTGCTCGCGAATGAGGTTCACCAAGCTGGCTTTCTTTCTGGCGGCCTTGTTGATCTCTACCTCCATCAGCCGAAGGGGACTGATTTCTGCCTTCTTTGGGGTCAGGCCATCTGGTCCTTCCAGCTCGGTCACCCTCAGGAGGAGTTGCATCTTGCTCCATTCCTTGGGAGCTGTCTCTCCATGTTGCACTAGCAAGCGTTTCCGAAGACCCGCAGCGTCCAGTTGCACAACAGACGTCATTGCTTTCTCCTAAGACTGCTACTACCAAGGAGTGTGTTTTCTCCGGTGGTGCCTGAGCCAGTGTACCTTCTGCATGACATGTTACTTCATGCTCCGTGTCTTGTGTTTCGTTCTTCGCAAAATCTCTCGTGTCTTGTTGTTCTTTCATGTCATGTCCCCTTATTAAATTACCCCTTAAGGTATTACCCTTACTATCCCATTTGGGGGGGTTACCACCGGTCGCGCCTGTCCTGGTAGAGCTCGAAGAGGTTGAAGAATCCAGCTGTGGCACCTTGGCTGTCGTGTCGTCACGGCCTAAGTCACCTAAGTGGCCAGGATGAACCATGTTTCTACCTGTCTTCTCGTCTGTCATCATTTTTCCCATCATCGCATCACCATCACATCCGGTATTACTACCTACTGCTCCCTGGCTACCTTGGTGCTGTTGCTGCTCCTCGGCTTTCTGTTTGTTCGCCTGTTTTCCTTCTCCTTGTTGTTTGCTGGCCATCTTCTCCCTTGCTCCGTGGATCTCATTGGGTTCCTTAACCCCAAAAAAAAGACCATCTTCGCACCCAACCCAGCTACTGCACTTGCGGTCCTTTCTACCCTGTGCTGGTTCCAAGGCAGAAAGGTGCTGTCCCTATTCTAGCTGATCAAAAGCTGGCAATGGCTGTTCCATTGTCAGAGCACGGGCCAGAGCATCCTCAGTCAGCGGGAAGACCTGGTGTCCTGCCGCTGTTCGTTCTAGCCTAATCAGCTTCCTAGGGTCTACCGCTCTCAGTACAGCTCGATCAGAGCCAAAATCGATCACGGCTCCCAGTTTCCTCAGTGAGTCGATGGAGAGAAGAATAGGTGCTGAGCCCTCATCTAGAGCATGCACCTTCAGGGTACTCATCCTTCCATCCAGTGGCACTTCCAGTTGGGCAGTGCTTGCACATTGGTTACGGCTGCTATTTCCGAAGCCGAAGATGGGACGGTCATTCATGTCCACCTTCTTGACTCCTGCAGTTCCACGGTTCTTCTCATTCAGCTCGCACACCTTGGACAAAGCCACCACTGAGCCTATGGTTCTGGTGGCCCCGCCGTCCAAGATTGCCTTTCCTTGCGCTACCACATCCTGGGTGGACAAAAGTTGTCCAGTGCTCACCTCCCCATGGAAAGCTTCTCTCATCCCCTCGGCCAAGAAGATGAACGGTGCCTCCTCGGCCACATGTGCCCCCGCTGCTGGTCGACTGCGAGGTGCTTCCTTGCAGTCTGCTACTTTGTGAGGTCCCCCGCATCGGAAACACTTCAGGTTGGCATCGGTCTGGCGGAATTGCTTCCACATTTGTCCTTCTTGTCCACCGCGTTGTTGGTTCTTCACTGGGTAGAACTGTCTTGCCATCTTCACGGCATGTTGCTTGGATCTTGCTTCCTTCAAGGTCCTTCTCGCTCCTTGCATCACATTGTAGGCCTCGATGGCTCTCTCTCGTTCTGTGGCAAGGCAGTTGATCTCGTCCACGGTGAAGCCCTCAGCCTCCAGCTCATCTTCGTTCCACTCACCGATCCATGCTGACACCTCTTCGTCTTGCTCTTCTGTCAAGTGGCTGAAAGCTTTTCCCTTTTCCGCATCTCTCCTCCTCAAGTCGGAGTCCGACCAGTGCTTTCTCAGTGCCTCTTCCACGGCCCTCACACTGAAGCTGCCTCTAAGTTCAGCCTGCAACACGTTCCTTTCCATTGTGTCCAAACCGGCATCCATGAACAGATACCAGCCCTGCACATAGTCCGGAAGGATTTCTGGCAAGGCCCCCCTGCCCAACTCACTTGTATCTTCCATTGTGACTCTTCTTGGCAAAGGGTACCATCCACTTTCATAGGACCAACCCCACTCACCTTGTCTCCAGTCCTGCCAGGCTCCAACCTCTTCTTCCTCATTGGTCTCCCGGGGAGTCTGCATCTCTTCCTCAGGTGCACCACTGCTAGACGCTCCACTCGGCTCCGGGACTATCCCTTGGACTGAGGTGCTCTGGGACCCGGTGACCGTCGTTGGGACTGTCGCCGGGTCTCACGCTGCAGTCGAGCCATGGATTGCTGTGCTCGTGTGTACGCCTCCGCCTTCTTCATGATGTAGTCATGCATGCTCTCTCCCCTCTGTCGCTTCGACCCTTTGAAGTACTTCAGCAACAGCTCTGACATCTCTGGAACCTTGGGGTGTCCTCGCTCTTCTCGCAAAGCTGAAATCAGCACCCGCACTCCATTGCTGTGAGACAGCCAATTGGCCGGTCGTCCCACCAGAATGCGTCTTGCCGATCCCCGCAGCTCACTGGCACATCTAGGTCCGCATAGGTACCTCTTCTCTCTCACCACCGTCTGCTCATACATCAGACATGCCTCCACGTACTCTTCGAACGTGGACAGGTCTCCTGCCCATATGGGCACCCCATCCTTGTTCTTGGCCAACGTGCTACCTGTCCACTCCGATCGGCTCTGCAGACCGGAGTACATCGCTTCTTCGGGCCCTTGGAGCATTGGGCTCCGCTACCATGCAGGTAGCACCTTCTTCCTTTGGGGTATCAACCCGTTACTGGCTTACAAGCCGGCGTTTTTCCCTTTCAAGTCTTGGAACTGTAGAAGTTTCCCCTCCACACTCGAAGTCCACTATGATGGCTAAGCAATCAACCCTAGGTCTAATGAGTGCGTCCGAGAGGCTCTATCTCCTTTTGATCCAAAGTACTGCATGATGTCACTAAGTGAGTGCCAAGTCAGTTGGGTGCGAACTTGATAAACCAACACAGTATATATATATATATACACATATACATATACATATACATGTGCATATACATATATATATATATACATACATATTATATATATATATAGAGAGAGAGAGACATACTCTATATCTTACAATCATCATTCACTGACCCGAAGAGTTCAGTCATTTTAAAGGATACCCCGATCCATCCCATCTGGCCCATCATTCCAGAGACCTTCGCAGTGAGATCAAACTCATCTGATGGAAGATAGCCACCTGGGACTTCACCAGTAGCATTAAACAAGATCAAAAAAAGTATTTGGAACCATTGCTTTTCGGTTTTTCCATATCTATAGTTAGTCTACCCCAGGCCCCAGGGTATGTCTCTTGATGTCTACCAATCGTGATGATGGCCTTTTGGAAGGCAATCCCTTTCTCTCAACCAACTAGTAGTGGAGGCCAATAGCTGGGGCCTGCGAAACAGAGTTGAAAAGTACCTCAGCTGGGCCTGGTCCACCAAGGTCAAAGCTGGGCCATTCACATTGGCTGGGATCTGGATTCCAGGTGCTGGGAATTCCACTCCAGCTTCTGGAATGTACATCGAGACCAGCGCACCTGGGCTAGTCACGCCAAAGACCAAGGAAGCCACTAGCCTTGAGTACTCGGCTTGAGCCCTGGCGACTGTCAAGGAACTGTCTCCCAAGACATCGGCGATTCTCCTCATGAAGCCGGTTCTGTCCGTGGTATCTGCTTCGTCCCCAAGCTGGGCTCCCCCATGCTTGAGGGGTAGGTGTTCTCACTTCACCCTGGTGCCAGGTCAAAAATCACCAGGTGTCCACCGAACGTTCTGGCTCTGATTTGCCATCTGGCTACAAGTCAAAACCCTGGTATCCGGATGGTATCCTAAGTCATAGCTGGGATCTATGGATCCCATATGCAACCCATGGTGCTGGTATATTTACCTACAAAACTGGGTGATTTTGGACAAGGGCAAATGTTGGTAAATATTCCAGCACCATGGAGCATAAGGGGATGGCTATTTCCCCAGTCATATGGCAATACTAGGTTTTGACCCATCCTCTTATTGACCCACACGCTGGAGTGAAAAAAAACCTTTGTCCAAGCGACTCTGTTGCCATGAGGATGTTCCCGGCATGCTCAGCCTCCTAAAAAAGAAAGGGCCGTTGGTAAAGGATAGGAGGAATGCATGTGGTGTGCTAGTCTTGTGTGTGTATCATACAGATATTGTCCACATATGTAGATGATTGTATATGCAAAGTATGATATTCTATTTGTCTATTCATATATATATAATAATAATTATATACATATATTATATGTGTGTATATACATAAACACATGCATGTTGAAAGTGCAAATCTCATTCTGCCGTAGTCACGCAAGCTCTCCAACGATTACCTATGCAAAGAATTTCTTTAAAATTCAACATTCAAAATGTTTCTACTTTGGTATTAGCCACTTAAGTTCATCATGATTCCTGGTACGAGTGGGGATGCAACACCAACACATCTTAAACCACCTGTCAGATGTTGCAAGAATTCGCGTTTGTGATGATTCGATGATTCGTGGTTAGGAAGTGGGGTAATACGGTATACTGTAACCCCAACTGCGCCACTGCACTGCCCAGCATCCATCAGGGAGACCACTCCCGCAGCGACGCTCGCATCCATCTCCGTGAGGACGTTGCAGGCGACGTCTTCGTCCATGGTCGACAAGCAGCCGGCGGAGATCTCGTATTCCATCTCCTAAGGAGTTCACCATTTTTGCGGCTTCTGAATGATGATTTTGGCTGGATCCCCAGGTCACCATAAGGATTTACCATATTCAGATTTCATGGGAATATATAGATATATGGGTAAATTATAGTATTAACCTGAATCTTGCGGCCATTTGGGAATGATTCCCCTTACTAACCATGATATATATATATATATATATATATGTATATATATATATATAGTTATTTATAGAGTTGTTATAGTGATTATAATGTGGCTATTGAAAACCAGCGCTAACCGGAAGAAAACTCACGCAAGAAACATGGAGATTTAACCAACACAAATGGGTAAAAAATCAAAAACTGCAAAATTCATAGATTTACCCTCTGCTTATGTCAAAATAGCTATTGAATATGGCCAAGTTGAAATAGTGAATTTACCCAGTGAAAATGGGTGGATCTTTCCATAGTTATGTAAAGGTTTACCAGAGGGCCAGGGGGTAACTTTTAACATGATTTTACTAACAATCATCATTTATATGGGTCAGTTCGGTTTGGTAGCCCGGTGAACACTAAAACAGCTGGGATTTATGGTTCGGTTCCTCCTCCCAAAGTATGGGACAAAAAAAAATTGACCCGGGCCCCTGGGTATTTAACCAACACACATGGGGATTGAACCCAAAAAATGATGATTTTTCAGCAACACCTTTGTGGAATCTGATGAATGACAAGGATCAATACAGTAAACATGGTTGAACTGACTTAACCGTCACTTTATGATGATATCATATGATATCCCGAGCCACAATTTGGGATTTGACAATCACAATCTAACCAGCCAAAATGTGGACTTAACATGATTTGACCGTCAACAAATTACGGTCTAAGCACTGAGCAGTGGATATGGGTATGGTTTTGTCAGACCAATTTATGGTAATGTTGAACAAGTTGGTGTGATAATGATGTAAAACCATGGGATGGAATAAGGTAAGTTATTTGGGACACACCAACCAATAACTATTGCCAGTTCAAAGGAAGGGCTGAGAGAGATAATTACCCCTTGATGATCGGCGGAATGAACGGGAATCCCATCCCATCACATTGACTGGCAAGTAGCTATTCCTATTGTGTTTTCAAAAAGATGTTATAAGTTACAACAATGTGTATCAAACTGAACGCTAAAAAACTACACTAAGCAAGAACCAACCACTTATCCACTTCCCATTTCTTCTTGGTTTAAACCACCACTTAACCCATTTCTTCTTGGTAAAAAAAAAAAAAACACATGTTTTTCCACCCTATTTTTCCGTGGCCTTGTTGCCTTAAAACATGTTTCCAGCCACCGACCAATGTTTCCACCGAGCCGCAGCGACGATCCCTGCAGCCACCGAGGTCTCCATCAGAGACACGATCTTGCCGCAGTGGTCCGGGTCCAACTCCTCAGAAAAATGGCTTGGGAAGTTATGGCCATGGCTACCAGTTATAACTGGTGATTTCTATGGGATGAGAAACATTCTATAAATGGGGTGACTTGTTAGTACTTATAACTGATAAATGGCCATAACTGTTGGTTCTGTTGGGAAAGTCTGATCACCGGAAAATCCATAGATTATTGGTCCCATTTTTGGTCCCATGGGGTGCAAATAACTCCAAGAACTCACTATGGTTTATGATACCTATAACTGTAGTATTCATGGTTTTTTTTGTTAACCAACTTAGAACTGGGGGGGCCCACATTGTATGGAATATATCAATGGATTAGTTTTGTTGGGAAAACTTTAACCGGAAAACCCATAGGTTTTCCCAATTAATATCTGGGTTTTCCTGTAAAATTTCCCATCATCCGATTGTGTGAATATAGCTAATATCATCAGACTATTACAAAGTTACTATGGGTAGCTATATCTAAATATGGAGATTTCCTGAAATGGGGGTACCCCAATAGCTGGATGGTTTATAATGGAAAATCCTATTGAAATGGATGATTTGGGGGAATCCCTGTTTTAGGAAACCTCCATGTAGATTATAGCATATTATAGCTATTGGGTGATGATATGTCAGATTAAGTATGTGTATTATGGGTGATGATTGTGTTGGAAATTATTGAGAGTATTACAATACCCAATTTATGGGGATTGTTGTCACCCATGATGGGAATCCATATGAAAACCAACCAAACATAAGGACGTGTTCAATAAAACAAAGAGATTGGGTTCAGATTCCGTGTGAAACTAAGAATTTGATTCACACAAATCTGACACTTAGTAATTTTGAATCTGAGACATTTAGGTGAGTTAACATGTTGTTTCCACCACAACTGATGGTGGTCCTATCATTTTCATGCAGGTTGGCTAGCAAACTTCCTCTGCAAGCATCACTTTCAGCTCAACAGATTGATGGGGATACATATCCAAGGAAAGAGGAGGCGAACCATGCCAGGAAACTCCTTGGAAGTACCAAATACCTTCGGGTAAGCTAACATAGCGATGGACAAAATGGTAATAAATAAATCACCTACAAGTCAATCATTTTCCATCGCTAGACTATGTTAACCAAAGGGGTATCCATGACTGGTACCATTCAAACAGTGCCATCATTTGGAGGAGATATAGATATATATATATACACATATCATGATATATTGAGATATCAGATATCCTATAACTTATAACTTTCAACTGTTCATTCCCCGTCCTTGCTTTTGCGTAAACACAACGCACCGCCCCCGCAACGCAACGCCCAGGCGACGGCCAGCACCGTGGCCGCGCCGTCGTCGTAGTCCATGACCGCGACGACCTCTGCGACGTCGGCCGGCTCCATCTCGGAGAGGATGCCGCAGGCGGCGGGAGGCTCCAGTTCCTGAGGTGGATGATCTCTGTAGCATTGGGGATATATGGTATTTTCATGGGATTTAATGGGATTTTATGGTATTTTAATGGGATTTAATGGGATATATGATGGAGGGATATATGAATGATAATTGTAATGGTGTATAGAGATCATCATATATTATCATACTATGATATAGTATCAATATCCATGTATCATCTGGGGATACCCACTGGTAAACATACACAAAGCTATTGAAAATGGCCATAGAAATAGTTGATTTTCCCATTAAAAATGGCGATAGGACCACTGGGAGATATATGAATGATACCCTCTGGTAAACTAACATAGCTATGGAAAATCACCATTGGGGATACCCTCTGGTAATTTGTTACATAGACTATAAATGATGATTTAATAGTTTAACAATGGGTTAACAATGGTGAAAAATGGGATGATAATGGGATATACCCTCTGGTAAACGTTTACAACTATGGAAAGATCCACCTATTTTTAAGAGGTAAATCCACTATTTCTATGGCCATTTTCAATAGCAAACTGTTAGTTTACCAGAGGGTAAACCATGCGAAAAACCACAACTACATAGCATGTAAATGGGAACTTTAAATTATTGTAGTGTTTTTCATGTAGGTTTTGAACCCCCCTTAAATCCCATGGCTCAAAACCTTATTCTATGGCCATTTTCAATAGCTATGTCACAAATTACCAGAGGGTATATCCCATTATAATCCCATTATTCACCATTGTTAACCCATTGCTAAACCATTATATAAATCATATTAAATCACCATTTCACATTGAATTGAATTTATTGTACCATGTTGTACAATGTGAGGCCCCCGTTCGATAGCGTTCAGTTGGTGCAAATAACTCCAATTTCACTATGGTTTATGGTCCATATATGCTACTTATAACGAACTAGTTCCTGGGGCGAAGCTAAACGCAACAAACATCACTGGGGGGGGGCCCTTCATGGGAACTGCTGGCTTCATGGGATGATCACCAATTGGAGCCCAAAAAGCTAGGACTGGAGGTGCATGGCAGTTTTGTATGTGACTTGAAACCATATATATATAATTATATATATATATTATCATATGTATATATATATATATATGTATGTATATATATATATGTACTGTATTCCAAAATCATTGTAGATGGTCTTCTCAAAGCAACATTTTGGCTGCTTCGTCCATCTGTTCCATGATGTTTGACCAAACAGACCCAAGGCCTGGAAAAAGACCTCCAAAAAAACAGATACTGAAGTTCTGAGAAGAAATTTTGACCAAAAATACCCAGCCCCCAAAACATCCCCAGCTAATCATTCCATACATTTCAGGTTGCGGACGGGTCAATGCGGGAAAGTTTCTTGAACCAGCCCGGCTGCAGCATCATACTCCATGGCCTCAGGGCTTGTTCAAACAAAGCCTGATGGATCAAGCGAGATTTCAGCCTTTTCCGAACAATTATATAATTATATCAAATGGAATCATTGATGAATCAACATCGAAAAATGTCTTGGATCAACTCTCGAAAGGGATTCGGAAGATACATGGCCCATGCAAGGTGATGCCACCCAAGTTATGTTTGTTGGTGTATACACCCAACTAGATATAGCTATATCATGTAAAAAAAAATACCCCCCCAAAAAAACAACAGTTCACCAAATGACAACCCAACAAATCCTTTCTGAAATCCCCATGTTTGTTGGTTAAAACAACATGTTCCTACCAGTATGGGTTTCTACTGGACTTCACCTTGTATGTTTTAGTTCTTCCTCTTCGTCTTCGTCTCCTCTTGGGTGATTCGGGCGCATCCTGCTCGACATCTTCAGCTGACCATAACATCCTGATGCCTTCGAATTCCACTCCATCTGCACTACCCTCTGGTAAACTAACAGTTAAAGCTATTGAAAATGACCCAGTCGAAAGTGGATTTTCCCAGCTAGAAAATGGTGATATCTTTCCATAGTTTTTTGTTAACGTTTACCAGGCCGGGTAAATGGTAGGTCATCCTCTCGCGCCTTTTTTTCATCCTTCCAGCGCCTTCGCTTGGGAACTGTCAGGGTAAATAACAATCCTGGAGGAAAGTCATGGATTGAAACCAAAGGAACTTTGTTAAAATATAATATATATATTATATATATATATTATATATATATATATTATATACGCAATAAGAGAAATGCCGTACATATTCACTTCAGCATATTCTGGGACTAATGTTATCATCTGGTATCACAAAAGACATTTTACCCTAAGAAGTGGACACCATGTTATGGGCAGCTCCTCCAAAAATGGTCCATCACTGTGGCCTCTTTGTTGCATCCTATGGTTACCTCCCGCGTAGCCAGAAGGCTGTGTAGACCATCATCAAACTTGAAGAAATCAAACCCAAATCAATCCCAGCTCTGAAACGATGATACGAGTATGGATTGATATGGATCGTTTCAAGACTTCAAGACCCACATAGACCCACTATGAATTGTTTTTCAAACCTCCCAAGTGCCACGAATAAATCTGCCAAAATACGGCCAGCACGGCAGCAGCATAGTCGTATTCCAACTCTGACAGGATCAGTGCGGCCGCATCTGGCACCATCTGAGCCAGGAAAGGAGCACATTGCGAACCTGAGCTCATGGAGATTCCAGGAATGGTCACCTTGATGCGAACGGTGCATCCTCATTGTGTTGCTTACGCAGCGGCTTATATGATCGCCCCTTGGTTCTTGCTTACGTCATTGTCTTATACTGTATCTCACCTATGACATATCTGTCATATCCCTGCACTTGCTGGTTAACCCCCAGTTGACGATTATATACATGCCTGCACTTGTTGGCTAGATCTGGGATGTCGCTGAGTATATTATATATATACACACCTGTAGATGTAGGTTATACAAATGGTGATGTGTATATATGTTTTTTTTTTTTTCCTGCTGTTCTGCGGCTGGGAAACTCTTATATAGTAGCTCCTTGGTTCCTTATGCAAAGAGAAATATGGGTACCCATAGCTCCTTAGCTCATTCCTTACCACCGTATAGATATTCTGTGTATACTCTATTTACATATATTATAAATATTCATGTGCATCGTTTTGATGCAACATGTTCCACCTCCTACTCATCAAGCAGTTGCACGGATTTGGTTTAGGCCAAGGACACCATATTGCTTAATTACTGCATTTGCAACAAACAAATGTCTACGCAAAGTCGTTTGCACATTCATACCGTAACACTGCGGCTGACACATGCTGAGCTATGTTCTCACCTAATGCAGCCATCCTGGAAGGATAGTGCCCACAAGTCTTTGCGCGTACCCCTCAAAGCTATTGCTCGGTCGGTCAGGGTGAATCCCCATTGTGTGCAAATGCATGGTGCGATATGGTTGACAAATATGTGTAACATTTTTGACAATCAATTAGACCCTTCCATAGTCCTTTATTTGGTGTCTCATACAACTCCTATATACAAAGTTCTGACACAAACTATTTTAATCCAATTTGAATAGACAATTTAAACATCTTAAACGGGAGACAGGTTTTCTCCATTCCGAAAATACACCCCCATCTCATGAAGTACTAGTTAGTTGATAGGTTTTCCTACTATAATGTATATAGTTGTTTTTTTTTAAATACCATCATCCCCATTAAACCAGCTAGTATAATCCAGGTAGGTAATAACAACACCAATAGAGCCAGTACAATGAGGGCATATTAATGGATATTGGCATGATAACATGAATCCATCATTTCCGCGTTGTGAAAATTACCATTAAACCAGGTATTTATGTGTGTATATATATATGTATATATACGTATACATATATATATATAATCACCATATATCACCATATACCATTAAACCTACTAGAATAATCCCAGTGAACCCCAATAATGTTGGTAAAACAATAATAAACAATCCCCAATTTCACAATAAATAGGTGGTATACACTATCACAAATGGGGTGGTTTATTATTGTTTTACCCGCATTAAACCCCATTAAACAAGTTAGTTTATATAATAATAATCATTAATGATCACCATATATCACCATTGAACCTAGAATAATCCCAGTGAACCCCAATAAACCCGTCAACAAGGCTATAACTTTCAACCCAGGCACTGTCCATTTCGGACAAAACTGCGGCTGCGGGACCTGTTTCCATGTCGTCCTTGACTGACGCGGCGGGTGCGTGATTGGGAACCCTCTAAAGCCTCAAAGTACCACAAAAAAAATGCGGGTAAATTATCCAATATGTAATATTAGCCTTAAAAATATGGGTCATATTAGAAAGTAGTTAGTAATACATATTTTTGTGGGTTAATTATCAGCCTTAAAGCCTTAAAGTAATGGGTCAGTAATATTTACTAATAATGGGTAAACTGTGGGTAAATATTCACTAATGTTATCTTTACCCATTAAATATTTACTATTAATGATAATGGGTAAAGTACCTCAACTGATAAAGAAGAGTATATCATATAGTATATCGAACAAAGCTAACACAACGATAATTGACGAAAACGTACCGCTTTGCCCATTTCATGGCTCAATTCTTATGGGTCAAGGGGGGTTAAAATGAAATTGTCCATGTTGACAGTGCAATTCCAGGTGCGCCCCAATCGAACTTTCACAATTTCAAATCACATTTGAACATGTTACAACTTAAGTAAGTTCAGAATCAAAACGGGTGTCTCTATGGTAAAACGTATAGATTGACCATGTTGAATGGGGCTTGCACCAGAATGTCCCAAATTGAATCCCAAAAAAATTGCCGGTTGAATCCCCATCCTCTGCTGATACGGCCCATTGATCGTCAGATTGCAAAGCATAGATCAATGGGAATTTCAGGATCCTAAAATGGAGGTGCTGTACCATATAAGGCCATATTTTGTGGGGATATTCCCTTACATAGGCCTTACATAGGCCTTATATGATAGGTACCTCCAATTTAGGTTCCTGAGATGGCCAGTGAATAGAGATAGAACTACCATGCATTACTGGTTGGTGGTTGAGCCCTACCCCTCTGAAAGATAAGACTTCGTCAGTTGGGATCATTATATTGAAAAATAACAAATGTTCCAGACCACCAACCAGATTGTATCATTTCCCAACCATATATCATCATATATCTGTTAATTACTAATACTACCCATCAATGAAATCCATCGATACATCCCCATTCTCGATCATGAAAAATCCTAAATGTCGCCTTCATCCTGAGAATGGGTCTATTAATCATTGTAGGACTTCCACCTTTGTGAATTATGTTGTCCACCAAAAAATGAAAACATGTAGTATTAGAATATGGCACATGATATCTAAACAGCTGATTATTGTTGGTGTCATAATCAATGCAGTATCTCATTCATGTACCATTGATTCCCTCTTTCAGGTAGTGAAATCCAACCTTTGCGCCGTATATACAGTGATTAAATCCGATGATATATACCATTACATACCTATATTGCAGTTGGTTTAATACCTCTGTTTTTGCTGGTGACCGGTCATCAAACGTGGCAATGGACCATTAATATATCCATTACATATCTATTACATATTTATTACATCTCCATGCTATGTCCATTATATCCACTATATATGTCTATTTAAATCCATGACTTCGGATTTCTTTTCCTACGTCATTATATATAATATATATATATATATTAATATATATTCCAATACATTTCTATAGAAAATAACTTCAGATCTTTGTTTCCCCACCTTTCATGACTGACACCGCTAAGGCGGCGGCCATGCCATGGGCCGAGGCGCCAAGATGTACGCGGCATCCTCCAACTTCAGCTGTTGCAGGATCTGCGCCGCCTGCTCCGTTTCCAGCTCTGCCAGGACGTAGCCGGCGCCCACGTAGGCCATGTCCTGGGAACGGCTGGGGGAAGGGGTTGGGAGGGATTTCACTGGAGATTTCTTGGGGAAAAATGGTATTTGTTGTGGATTTGTGGGTGGGAATGGAGTGCTTTTTGGGGGGAAATCCTGGACTTTTGCTGTTTGGACGATGCAAATAACAACAATATAGATAGTATAGGGTATATTCTTAGAGTTGCATCCAAGCCATAGTGACCAAAACACGCTCTGAGCGAGGCACCAAGCCAGAATGATTCGTTTTCTGATCGCCATTTCGGGTGGCTATTCCCATCCAAATCTTGGCGACCAAAATCAGAGTTGGTGTCTATGAACAGGAGCCTGAGGTTGACTTATTCATTGCGTTCTTTGAGAGTTATTTCCAAATGGCTGGCTATATCCACGATATTCTATAGTACGTGTGTTGCTTATACAATCTTATACAATCTTATACAGCAATTGTTGTTGGTTGTATGTTCCAGGATAGAGCCAATCTTACCAGGAAACAGTAGGTTGTATAGTTGTATGTTCATTTATTAAGGGCCTGTATGAATTTATATCGATGTCCCCTTGTGCATTTGGCAATCTGTGTTAGTTATTGAGCTATGCCATATCTAATCAACGCTGCTATCACGGTGGAGCGGCCCTGGTTAGAAGTCGGCTAAATAGACCCCATGGATACTATACTTATGCGTATATAATACATATATTATAGGTATCATAAACCAACATAAACAACAATAGTTATGAATACTATAAGTATCATAAACCAACATCAATAACCGTAACATACCATAACTAATTATATATATATATATATGTATCATAAACCAACATCAATAACCGTAACATACCATAACTAATTATATATATATATAAGGATCATAAACAAACATAAATAACCATAGTGTTTGCAGTAAAAAAAATGCACCAACTTAGCTATCGTGAATCGTAAACAGGGGCCCCACGTGTTATTACTTGTTTCAGTCCAGCCACAAAGGGCCAGGTATCTCCTCGTATCTTATCATCTTTGGTCACAGAAGCCGGACGAATCAGCTGTTGCTTGTTAAATCCTCTAGCTATATGGGTAATATATGGGTAACTGGTTGGTGGTTGAGCCCTACCCCTCTGAAAAATATGTTTGTTCGTCAGTTGGGATGATGAAATTCACAATATATTGAAAACATGAAATTCATGTTCCAAACCACCAACCAGGTAATATATGGTAAGAATTAAGAATCAGCTGTTTGGAGTTTCTTAAATCCCCCCTGGCTGGTAGGCCTTTGAAAATCCTAACCTCTTTGTCCAAAGTTGCATCTGAAGTTGCATCTAGTTTCTATTCCCATCATACAATGCGTCGAATCCATTTAATTCTGGTTGCTGGTTTGAATTTCACAAAAACATCGTGTTCATTGGGTCATCAGGCAAAACAAAATCCCACACAGGATGCGAAACCGCCAAGCCGGCAATAGGGTCGATTTACCAAAAAAAACTGATTCTCACAGAAAATGCCAAAGAAAATCTTCCTTCACAGGCAAAATCATCTCATGTTGAATTCCCTATCCTCATTATTTCGCATGTCCCACTGGCTTGATGCTTCCGTCCCATGGCAACCCCAGTTGGGTTCCTATTTCCATAGATTTCCATATGGATTTTTCCCTAGCTCCACTAGCCAGTAGCTAAGTTGGGGTGTCATTTTCAGCCATCTCATGTTGATTTCCCCATCAGTTCTCCTCACTATATAGCTTAGTGGCTTATGTCATTTTCAGCCATCTCATGTTGATTTCCCCGTCAGTTCTCCTCACTAAAAACAGCTTAGTCTGAAAATGGGGCTATATCCCCGGCCATTTCAATATGGAAAATGATGATGAATCAAAACATATTAACCGTCAAATGGCCAGGATTACCATCAAATGTTGGATGAATCAAAAATTAACCATGAACCAATATGACCGATATTGGTGATTTCACTTAGCGAACTGGAAAATCACCATTTTGGGATAGGTATATGGATAGGTCAAGCATCCTAAATCCTTTTTTTCAATGGACCATCTATTCCAGTTCGCTATGTCACAAATAGCCAGAGGGTACCCTCTGGTAATTTAACATAGCTATTGAAAATTGCCATTTATAGTGGATTTTCCCATTAAAAATGGTGATTTTCCATTGTTATGTTAGTTCACCGGAGGGTAACCATCAGATGTTCGTCATGGCTTTCTCCGCCAAATTCTGCGCACGTCGAGGCGCGCACAAAAGGCCGGCCGCGCTGTTGGCGTCGAGCTCCTCCACGATCCAGGCGGCGTCTGAGGCCTTGAGTTCGGCCAGGAGGTCCGCACCGCTGGACATCTCCTATGGCAATGGTGGAGACACACCGTGGATGAGGGCAAGGGGATGATTTTTTTCAATGGGATTTCATGGGGATTTGATGGAAATCAATGGGATTTCATGGGGATTTCATGGGGATTTGATGGAAATCAATGAGAATTCATGGGGATTTCATGGGGATTTGATGGAAATCAATGAGAATTCATGGGGATTTCATGGGGATTTCATGGGGATTTGATGGAAATCAATGGGAATTCATGGGGATTTCATGAGGATTTGACAGTTTTCCCTGGGATTTTGTGGGGATGTTATTGGGTTTCATGGGGAACTCATGGGGATCTAGTGAAAATTGTGGGAATTCAATGATCTTTAATGGGATATGTTGCAAATGGTTACCCTGTAACCATTGGGAGTAAACTAATGGTAGGCATTGACATTTTTTGTGAAATTCCATCATGTTTATCCCCATGTCATGTCTGTTGATGAAACTGCAAAAAACTATGTAACGATGGCATTGATAGATACCATCCCTCCAGTTAACGTAGACAACTAGCAGTTTGAAAGACACAACTAGTCCTGCAATCATCAGTGATCCCTGGGGTCTATATTACCGTCTGGTAATTTGTTACAGTCGGCTATTAAAAATGGTCATAGAAATAGTTGATTTTCCCATGAAAAATGATGATTTTCCAAAGCTATGTTAGTTTACCAGAGGGTAAACCCCATTACATCCTATTATACTAGTTTTGTCCTGGTTAAATCACCATTTGCACGTTATATCCACCATGTATAATAGGATGCACTGGGATTGTAGGATGATTAAACCATGTATTATACTCCATCATTTGAGCATCGTCAAAAGCCTAGTTTTGAATTGGTTCTACTGGTTGGTTGATAGGGGTTCTCATAGTGGAATTATAAGAATCTCCATTAAACAAACAAGTAGAAATCCTTGTCATAATCTATCAACAGGTTTTTGGTCACTGCTCATTTGTCCCGGTTATTACCCGCTGGTAAACCAACATAACTATGGAAAATCACATTTTGTAATGAGTAAATCAACTATAAATGGCCATTTGTAATAGCCAACTGTAACAAATTACCAGAAGGTATATCCATTATCATCCCATTCTTCACCATTGTTAACCCATTGTTAAACCATTAAATCACCATTTATAGTGGTTGAAGGTTAAAGTAACATAGCTATTTTAAATTACCACGAGGCTAACTGCGATGCCCCAAGTCTCCGCCAAGATCAGCGAGGCGCGCTGGTGGCTGTCGTTCTCTATCTGGAAGCCACAGACAGGGACGGTGAGGAGAACGAAGGTCTAATGGAAATGGGGGGACATCAACGGTTGATGATAGTTAGTACATGTTAGTAATAAATAATAACAATGGTTAATAGTTAATAGTAGTTCATAGTAGTTATATAATAATAATGCTTAATACATGTTAGTAATACCCATATGCTCCATGGTGCTGGAATATTTACCAACATTTGCCCTAAAAATCACCCAAATGTAGGTAAATATACCATACATGGAGCATATGGGATAGTTCATAATGGTTAATATAATGGTTGATAATAGTTAATAGTCTATTAGTGGTTGATGTGTGGTTAATATGTGGGTAATAACGGTAAAATGTGGTGATTAATGGTTGTTAGTGGTCACTGATAGTTAATAATGTTTCATGATTCATAATGGTGATTAATAGCGTTTAATGGTGATTAATGTGACTTACCCTCTGGTAATCAAACCTGGCCTTGGGTGTGTTTATAATAGTCAGGTCTATCTACACAATGGAGCAAATGGGAGAGGCAGCCCGTGATGTTTTCAAGGAGACTATCTAAACTGATTTGAATAATTTTGAATAGCAGATTTTACCTCAGTGCTAAGTGCTATGTTCTGGGATATCCCCAGCTATATCTTGTACTCATAACACAGGTTAGAAGTCAGGTACTGCCTGGGATGCACATCCAAATACAAGACGGTGACCCAGCGATGTTTAAGGGTTTATAAACAACATTCACTCATTCGATATCTACCAGAAACCCTACTTATTGGAATTGTAGACAAACTCAGCTAACGGTTGGGGGGGCAACTGAAAAAAATCCTACAGCTGTGACCACTGCAAACAAATCTCCTCAAAACGTATCCATGTCTGCAACCTTTCCATGTTCGGAAGGTCGTATTCCTCAAATCCCCGAAGTTTGAGATATAGGTTTGTCTGAAAATCACGGACTCCCAAACAATAATGCCTTAAAAACTCATGTGACTCATGATCCCTATTCTTTCATCGCAATCAATTGGTGCATCATTTGGATCAAACCTACTTCCCTTGTCCGTTTTCTTTCCCATATTAATGTTGATACTTTGTCCTCAAAATTTAACCCCCTGTAGCTTGTCAAACCGATTAATCAAGCAATATATATATATATATATATCTGGTTGGTGGTTTCAACCCCTCTGAAAAATATTAGTCAGACTGGATCACCATCCCAATTGGGGAAAATAAAAAATGTTCTAAACCACCAACCAGATTATACATGTCAATACATTCAAATATATAAGTGATAATGTGTTCCCATTTCTTGCAGGTAAATCCCTTGATTCCACGGTAAAAAAACAAACTTTGGGGATGATTCAACCACAAATTCTGATGGTGTTTACACCTTCATTGTGGATGCTTAACAACTTTAAACCGTCCATTTATAATTTTTATACATATAGTAACCCCCGAAAGGGATAGAACAGGTACTAGGATTATCTATCACCTTCTATCCGTATTGTTCATATGGTTTTTGCCATATCAATGCCATATTCTCCAGCTGTCCATCCCCAACATCCTCTCTGGTTGGTGGTTTGAACCCCTCTGAACAAATATGAGTTAGTCAGTTGGGGTTACTATTCCCAATATATATGGTTATATAATACATAATGGGATATGATAATGGGATATATTCTGGGATGATGACATTCCCAATATATGGAAAGTCATTAAAAATCAGGTTCCAAACCACCAACCAGCAATGTTTGGATGAATTACCCTCTGGTAAACTAACATAATTGTGGAAAATCACCATTTTTAATGGGAAAATCCACTATAAATGGCCATTTTTCGGCATCCCAGTGGCCATCTTTGTGACGATGGCGCCAGCGCTGGCAACCTTCATCTCATCCAAGATCTCGGCGGCCGCTGGGACCTGCGGTCGACTGACGACCCTACGCCGTGATCGAAGCTTTGGGGCTTGGAAGTGGTTGGAAGATGAGTTTCTAACATGTTCGAAAGATTAAGATGAGTTTCCATTTTTTTTTCGAAAGATGGGTGATTCTAAGTGGTCGAAGTGGGAATCACTGTTCGAATCACTGTTCATTTGAGGGATGGATTTAATCATGTAACATGATTTGAGCAAAAAATAGGCTCGGGTCAAACATACTTCAAGCACAAAGAATTGGGGGATTTCTTCTCCTCCAACATGATCCATCTTATGCGAGGAGTTGGAGTTGGCAAGTCTGGTGATCTCAGAAATGGAAAGTGGGATTGAAGTAACAAAACGACGCTTACGAGAGCATTGAAATCAGAAAGGATAGAACATCATGGGCTCAATCAAGAAAACTTTAGATGTACCAAGAAATTTGGTTCACAAGGACACTTTGGGGCATGGTCGATTTTGACTTCTACCCTACAATGACAATGATTGGCATAGACAATTACCCTCTGGTAAACTAACAGTTTGCTATTGAAAATGGCCCAGTCGAAATAGTGGATTTAGCCATTAACAAATGGTGGATCTTTCCATGGTTATGTTAAATTTCCAGAGGGTAAACCTACATTTTCCTATGGTTTTCCTATGGTTTTCCCATATAGTTTTTTGTAAACGTTTACCAGGCCGGTCTTCCCCCCTATGCTTTCGCCGAAGTCAAACCATGGGTGGGTCAACCTGGCCGTTGCAAAGGCTTCACCACTCCAACTTGACGACAGCGAAAAAATCACCATTCCAAAGGGCCCCAACATCATATACCATTACCACCTGGTTATGACTAACATAGCCATGGGAAATCCACCCATTTGGGTAGTATATATGGGTAATATATGAGGGTAACTGGTTGGTGGTTGAGCCTTACCCCTCTGAAAAATATGAGTTCGTCAATGGGAAGGATTATCCTGTATATTATGGGAAACAAATGTGATCTGGTTATGACGTTCACAGTTTGCCATGGAAAATCCACCCATTTTTAATAGCTAAACCATTTATTTCTATGGGCCATTTTCCATGGCTATGTTGAATATCCAGATGGTATATTATCCCTATGATAATCTTTACATCCCAACCACATCCCATTCTACCACCATTAGTTGTTGATGAAATCACAGATGTTTGATGATAACTTGCCCAATAACATGCCCATGTCATTGTTTATCCGTTTTTCCCAATAAATTGGAAAAGCTTAATGGGCTCATTTTTTTATATATGCCTTTCAATTCCCCAAAGGATGGATTTCTCATTGGGAAAATGCCAGACATCACCTTACGTAGGCCAGGATAAACTTACCAAAAGATAGATTATACTGGCAGTATGTCAGTTTTTTTGCTGTATCATCATTTAGAAACATTTCAACAAATGAGTTTGATAGACATATATATATATATATATATGTAAATATATATATATATATATATAACTTACATAATTGTTGGATAAATCATATATCATGCAACCCTGACACATTCATCATCATCATCATCATCATCATCATCAATATCTATATATATGTATATATATATATGTATATATATATATATATGATTTCATATGTATATAGAGAGAGAGAGGTATAATCACATCATGAGGATCCCATTGATACATGTACCCTTCCACGGCCCTCGTCACTTCCAGATCTTCCGGACCCAGGCACCTCCATCTTCTCCACAATGCTGGCGGCCACGTTTGGCTTCATCGATGCAATCCCCGCGGACGCCATGGCGACAGAGGATGGGTAGAGCTGGTCCCCCTATGGTCCCGGGTAAAACGGCACTCGCCCAACAGATGGTCGCTGGTGATTTTTTTTTGGGTATGGCACATTTCTCATTTGATTAACGATTGATTTGAAAAGTGAAAAGATGCAATCGCTGATTCTTTTTTCTACATAATTTTGAAAAGATGCAATATGTATGTTGGTTTCCATGGAAGACCTGACAAATTGTCCATGAATATTGTTGCAAAGCCTGTGCATTGCTCATTTTGATCTGAGGATAATGTCAGTGGTTCATAACCACAAAATCACCCTTTAGAGTTGCACACACTCACCTTTTTCTCCGTACTTCTTCGCACTTTCTTGGCTTAATCCGAAAATCAAAGGATTTAAGTGCAGTTTTCAGCAGCATATAGTATAGAATCGGCACCTTGTTGCTTTTCTTGAGCTGCCCATTCCAAGAACACTTGACCTACCATCAGATACGATGCAAAAAAAAAAAAACATGCACCACTGTCATATTGAGCTTAATGTGGGTAAAACAACAAACCACCCATTTTCCTGGGAATGGTAACCATCCCACCTAGAAAAAATTGTGATGACTGGGAGATGGTAAAGATGGCATTGTCTTACCCACATCATGAAGTTTCCAAAAATGACATCCTGTTGCGGGACCAACTTCCAGCGGCGCTGATTGAAAACCAACTCTTCAAGATCTTCAAGCAGCTTACCCCTCATGTTTTGTGTTCGTTAAGAGCAATGTATTGTTTAAAAACTAACAAAAATGAATGAAAGAGCCATGACTTAAAGATTAACCTCGACTTTTCAGTTCTTAGTCATGGCTCTTTCATTCACCTTTGTTGGTTTCTTACCTATGGTCATTCACATTCTGACAAGTTGTATCCACTTGTTGGCTTGGGACCCAATGTTGCTGGTTCGTAGCTTCATGTTTGATATCAACTGTTTCTGTCCCGTCATTTTTCCGGGCAAAGTATCTTCATTACCAAATCAGAAATAGACAGAAAGGATCTTTTTGGAATTACTTCCATTATCATTATACAAACAATGAATTAGGATGAGGTTTGCCAGTGAGGGTTGCAACATCATTTTCCCAAGGGTGGACTATAGGATATCAACCTGTTTGGATTTGCCATGTCAGGAATTGTTGATCACCACATTTGATTATGTTTACCGCCCATGTTATGTCTATACCATTGCATACCAACTTGTGTTCTTTTCCTTTGGATTGCCCATGTGTCTTGTTGTGTTTACCTTTATGTACACACCTATATGTATGTATGTATGTATATATATATATAGATAGATAGATTGCACACACACACACAGTACCTGGTATTTCCATGGTTTTTCTGTTTAATGATTCATCACAAACACACAACAAATTTACATAAACACATGCTGGCTTATTTTGGTATTCAATATCAGCTTTGGTCAAATATTCCATCAGTGTTTTTGGCCTCAATGAATGACATGTTTTTTACACTGAGATATTGTACCTAGTTGGTGATTTTTACCATCGTGAAACATATGAGTTCGTCAATGGGAAGGATGACATCCCATATATGAAATGGAAAACAAAATTCATGTTTGAAACCACCAACCAGATTTATATTGGTCAGTTCGCCCTGGTAGCCCGGTGAACACTACAACAGCTGGGATTTATGGTTCGGTTCCTCTCCCGATTTCCACTGTGATATTATACTGTTGATGATAAGTTATCCAACTAATTGCTTTTTTGGACAGTTTTTGAACTAGTCTCGCTCTTCACAAAAGATCTGGTGAGTAAAAAAAAACTCTATCCGCGTATTCAGATACTGTTCATCACCCAAAAGTTATTATCATTAAGATATATACATAAATTTAATATATATATACAGTATATATATATATATATCAAGATTGCAATTTATCACGCATTAGTCGTTGTTTGTTAACAACTATAGGTAAATCATCGTAAATTATCTATAAATGTACCATTTTCCATAGCTATGTTCAATAACGAAAGGGGATCTGTAGTTGTAGGGTATCATTTTCGCTGGATCCTAATTTTCACCATATTGCTTAGTATAATCATTATAATCCCCTAATACTATATAATAGAGCCAACAGGGAGTATAATCCCCGAATTATAATCCCTGAATCAGTATTGTTCACCATTATAATCATGAAAATCATCATACTGGTAGATCATATTATTTTAATCATTATTATTCATCATAATTGTCTGGTTGGTGGTTTCAACCCCTCTGAAAAATATGAGTTCGTCAGTTGGGATGATGACATTCCCAATATGATGGGAAAATCATAAAAATTAGATATTGGTTCCAAACCACCAACTGGATAATACATATGTATATATATATAGTATCATTATAGTATCATACACTATTGTTATTAATTATAGTATCATACACTATTGTTATGTTCCAAACCACCAACCAGTTACGAAATGATTTTCCATTATACTATTACCAATATACTATTATAATTATAATCCTCAACCAACAGAAGTAGATCGCACGCTGAGATCCCGCACTTGGACCACGAGTTCTCCGTCAGTTTCTTCTGGATCTCTTGACCTCGCATGAAGGCCTGGCTTCGACGAAGGACGTTCAACGGAGGTGACCCATGAAAAGCTATGAACACCTTTGCTGGTTGGTGGTAAAACAACCCCTCTGAAAAATATGAGTTCGTCAGTTGGGATGATGAAATTCCCAACTGAATGGAAAGTCATAAACAATCATGTTCCAAACCACCAACCAGTATGAAGAATCTGTGAAAACATGGTGACTTCGCTATGAAACACATATGTTTCAAGGGATTTTGGATGGAATTAAGGATTTGACCCATGAACACTTATGAAACAATGTCTGATTTGCCCTTGAAACATGAAAAACCTTTGTTGTAGAATGGATTTAGGGCAAACATGGGGATGTAGCCATGAAAGAAATAGGACTTCAAGGGATTGATATGATATAGATATGATTTAATCATGAAAACAGGAATTTGACAGTGAAAAAACCATGTCACAATGGTTTTTGAGCATCAACATGAGAATTATAAATTACCACTAACAGTTTCAATTTAACTGGCAAAATCATGGATTTACGATGATTTAAGTTGATTTAAGCATCAATAGTGGTGGCTATGGGTAAAAAAACAACCAATAAGCTGGATGGAGAAGCATCTAATGGAAGGTCACAATAATAAAACGTGCAAACACAGAGGTTAGCATCAACAAATTAATGTAATTTCAATATTGCAAAACTGTTTTATCACTGGCAAAACACAGTTTTGAGCATGAAAAACGTTGATTCGAGCGTCCACTGGCCAAGGTTCAAGGAGTTGACCAGCAGTCATCATACATGAATTCAGTCAAGGACGCATTTTGGATAGAATCAACATATAAAAACAAATATTGGGATGTGAATGACACATAGAATGACAAAGATTGGGAAAGGAAAATCCCACATTATTCACCTAGAATTTCTGGATCCTAGTGACATTAAGATACATTACAGTAAGTATATACAATTACAGGTCAGTAGATATGCCAACCTATCGGTTTTCATGGCGTAAAGGTCACCATGATTTTTCAGGGTCGGATCAAGCCTTGGACGTGGGAGATGTCCAGCACTGTAGTGCCCATATGCTCCATGGTGCTGGTATAGTTTAACTACAAAACTGGGTGATTTTGGACAAGGGCAAATGTTGGATTCCATATTCCAGCACCATGGGTTGCATATGGGGTGGTTTATTGGTAGAATTTGCCATCAAATATCATATGATATCATGTTAGCATGTGAGAATCTATTCTGGTGAATTTAAGGCTCACTTTGCTTGGGAAGGTTTGATATTTTTTGGATCATTCTGAAAAAAGGCCCCAGAAACGGTGTCAAAATGTGTCAAGGGAAAGCTCTCTTAAACCCCCTGACTTTGATGGGATAGAACCCCTTAGTTTACTGTAAGTGTTCCTATGTAGTTGTTCAATGAATAATATACCTACATCCATCTCTCTCTCTCTCTCTCTCTGTCGTGTAGTGCACTGTAGTGTAATGTAATTAGCGTAGTGTAGTGTAGTCTTATGTAGTCGTAGTTGTAGTTAATGTGATGTAGTGTAATGTAGTAATGTAGTGTAGTGTAGTGTAATGTCACTGGTGTAGTGTAATGTAGTGTAGTGTAGTTGCAGTTGCAGTTGTAGTTGTAGTTGTAGGTGTAGTGCAGTGTCATTCAGTGTAGTGTAGTGTAGTGGAGTGTAGCGGAGTGTAGTGTAGTGTAATGCAGTGTAGTGGAATGTAGTGTAGTGTAGTGTAGTGCAGTGTAGTGTGATTGAGAGTAATTGAATGTAATTGAATGTAATTGAATGTAGAGTGTAGAGGAGTGGAGTGTAGCGTAGTGGAATGTAGTTAAGGTGTAGTTCTAGCTGTAGTGTACTGTATTGGAGTGTAGTGTGGTGTAGTGATGGTTGTAGTTGAAATGCTACAAAACCTTCACGTTTTGCTCATTTTTGACAAGGTCCACAATCCCTTGCGCCTGCCACGCGAAACGACATCTGAACCTCCAAAAGTGGTCCGAAACCCTAGTGTTTTTAACAGTTTGACTTCGAAATGTGCTTCGCGCCACAACGGCGTGCACTTACTTTTTCGACATCTCAACTTCCAAAAGTGGTCCGAAACCCTGGTGTTTTTAACAGTTTGACTTCGAAATGTGCTTCGCGCCACAACGGCGTGCACTTACTTTTTCGACATCTCAACTTCCAAAAGTGGTCCGAAACCCTAGTGTTTTTAGCTTTTTCACTTACAAATGTGCTTCGCGCCACAACGGCGTGCATCTCAACTTCCAAAAGTGGTCTGAGAATGGTGTGTTTTGCGCATTTTGACTTCGAAATGTGCTTCGCGCCACAACGGCATGCACTGTTTCGACATCTCAATTGCCAAAAGTGGTCCGGAGCTGAGGTGTTTTGTGCATTTTGACTTCGAAATGTGCTTCGTGCCACAACGGCGTGCAATTTTTCATCTCTCATCTGGCCAGATGGCTCCGCACCCGCCGCTTTAGCGAGCCTACTTTTCGACCCTCCGGAGCCACAAATCATTAAAAAGCACAGTGTTTCGCGACTTTCCTACCTTTACGCGCACCTGTATCTTCTTGCTTCTGACTCTTTCTCTTCTCTGATCTTCTCTCTTCTACTTCTTCTACTCTTCTCTTCTCTCTGACTCTTCCCAACACAGCTTTTCATCTGTCCATATTGTCGGAAGTTTGACTTCTAAACTTCCTTCGATGATACTTATAACTATTGTTAATGGGGTTTATAAACCAACAAACATCACGGGGGGGACACATTATATGTTTGTTACTAATTCATTGAAACATTAGCAGATCTCCAACTTCATTCCTGCTGTGACCGAGCTGATACGTCACGGATGGACCAAAGTTTGTAACCATATACGACACTTCTTAAATCAATATGACAATTCGAGTGCATCAATGGATTTACTCCAGTTCATATATCATCCATTGATGGATCATTCACCTCTATAAATATGCATTATATATAGTGCGATTCAATTCTTCTCAAGCTCCGCTTTCTGCACTTCCTGACCCCTTCACGCGCGTTCCAGCTGTTGCGCCGCTGAAAACTCAAGAAGTCCCATCTAAAGAGCAAGGCTCTCCGCTCGTAAAATCACCCAAGAGGCGGCTAGCAAGCTCTGGAAATTCCAGTGATCTGCTCGTGTTTTCTGCCGAGGTTTTCCCTTCCAACTGCAAGGCATAGTTCAAGATTCGTGCGGGGTCGAAGAAGAGTCACCTTAAGGTCAAGACCTCTCTGATGCACCAATGGGCGGCCTCTCGTGCAATGGATGGTCTGATCTTGCACACTGTACACACTGTACAGCGAGTATGGGGTTTGGTTTCAATTGTGTTCTCACCAACAAAAAGACACAATCGTGGATTCGTGGATGCTTTGTAATTCCCCCAGTTGTGGTCGCCACACACCCAAGCTATCTTGCAAGCTACTTGCCCCTGCCTTCCGTTGAATTCCACTGTTTGCTACCCAAAATCCCCACCTTTGGCTGTTGCCCATGTTTTGGCTAAAATCATCACCAACAAAACCAACTTCAATCATCTTCAGTAATGTCAACCTCTGATTAATAAACCCCAAACGGCTGTTTCATTGGGGAGGGTACCATAAAAAAGTATCAGATTGTGATTGTTGGAGGAGTACCCCCCTACATAAATAGACCATGGTTTGGTTGGCTTTCTTAATGCTTCAATCCCCTTTGCGTTGCTGAAGACATCCGCCGGCCTCGGGTTGATCCGTGGCAGTCCAGTAGATCTCAGGACGAACAGGAAGCGGACGCAGGTCACAAAAAAAACCCTGGGGATTTCAAGGGCAAAGAATTCCGGTTGGTGGTTGAGCCCAACCCCTCTGAAAAATATGAAAGTCAATTGGGATGATGACATTCCCAATTGACTAATTGCTTTGCATGTAGCATCTATGACTATTACACTACGACATACTACGACAATCCCTCATGCTCTCATGCTCCATGTATATTTACCAACATTTAGCCTAACAATGAACCCAGTATCCAGTATCATCCAGTCATGTAGGTAAACATACCATACATGGAGCATACAATGTATTGGAATATCTGTCAATTTCCTTGGAGTTTGGTCACCTCTTTTTTGCTTCCCAACTAGTCCACCTTCACCTCGGGTCTGGGTCTCGGACCACCAGCAGACGTCCCAGGGTTTCGCGCCATAAATACTTGGTATGGTCGTCTTGATCTCGGAAGAAACCTGTGCATGGCAGTGCTTTTTGTGGCAAAAAAAAGGGGAATCATGTGGAATTGGAATCAGTTGGACATAGGAGAAACGATGAACACAGAAGTTACTTGTGAAAACATCTGCAAACATGTGAGAACGTGTCAAAACTCTGATTTGGTCTGGGTCAAAACTCACAAAAAAACATCGGGAGCCCACAGGTTTCCAAGTTGGAGTATCAACAATCCATGGGAAGTTCTTGATTCTGACCCATGATCTGAAGTCATGGACACCTAGACCTGCTGAGTTGACCCATCAGAATCCATGGCTACATTGCTGCAGCTACATGGAGGGCCCTCGCTGTGGCCGAGTGGCATGTCCATGCACCCATTGTAGGTAGTTTATGGGTAGCTTGTAATCGAACCAAGCAATTTCGGATTTGCATCACAAGTAACAAGTGCTTCAGCCATTGCTTCCATCGCAATAGGTTTTAATGACGTATAACCCCCTCATGTATCTGAGATCCGCAGTTGTCATTAATCATCCAGTCTATATCTATTGAACATTAATCATCATTAAATCATTAATTTAATGAAATATAAACACCTCGTGTATTCTATCCCTTGAACTAGTTATTCAATTTTATCTGGTTATGAACTCGCCAAGATCATCCAAGCACATCTTGGACTCCAATGACTCCATCGAGCCAGGCCTAGTTCTGGGAAGATCTTGGGCAAGTGCTGCTTCAAATAGACGTTCTCCTTGAGCCCTGAGGCAGCTGAGGCACAAGTGGGAGCTGGAGGCCACAGTGGGGATCTGGGATACTTCGATTGATGGCGTATTTACCTTCCGGTGTCATCAAAACTGGCAAGGGGGAAAAAAAAAGAAACTATACTGGTTGGTGGTTTCAACCCCTCTGAAAAATATTAGTCAGTTGGGATGATTATTCCCAATATATGGAAAATAAAACATGTTCCAAACCACCAACCAGTACAAATGGAGATTTGTAGCTGGGAAAATATCATCGAACTAAATGGTGAATTTTCCATGTTTTATGACTGGAGGATAAACCCCCAGAAAAAGAATGGTTCAATAATTTCAATATAGGCTGAATTCACCACGATATTCCAAGAGTCGGATTTGGTTCTTATGTTCTTTTTGGGTTACTTTGCATGAAAACCTGAGAAGATGCAATCCCTGAGTGTGCTGGAGTCGCCGGTGCAGTCCCTGAAGAGGCTCCATTGAGGAAATCTCAGCAGCTGCAAAAGCAGAGGCAAGAGTACCAAAACCATCTGCCACGGCCTTGAGAAGTGCCTCGTTCCCATTTTTGATTTCTTGGTGAATCGTTTTAAGGTGCTGATTAATCATGGTGGTCTGGGCTAATGACTTGTTAGCCACTGCCTTCAGACTTGTATTAGCATCTGCCTTGCTTCCCGAAGTCTGCCACTCAATGTTCTGGAAGCAGTTCAGCATAGCTTGTAACTGTGATAAAGAATGCTTCGCACTCACCTTATCATGGTGAACCTCCTGAGCCAGCTGTGCCAGAGAGCTGCTGCATTCAACTTAGACTTTGCAGGGTCAGGTTTGACTTCAGGCCTTGGTTCTTGGGCCTCACTGCAGCTGCAGACTCACTTGCGAAACTGAGGCTATGGAGCATTACAGATGAGAGTTCTATTTCAACAATAGATGAGTAGGTGACCAAAGTTGAAACTCACGGTCACCCATCAACTTTCTTGTGCTCAAACCCTCTGATCATATATGATCGTACTTCTGAGAGCGTCATTTTTCCATATTGTGTTTGTGAAGATTTGTAGCCTCCAGACACTGCTTCAAAAAAATTACCCTCTGGCAATTTAACATAACTATTGAAAATCACCATTTATAGTGAATTTTCCCATGAAAAATGGTGATTTTCCATAGTTATGTTAGTTTACCAGAGGGTAACCAAGAGGGTTGGATGGTCTAAGACTCACTACTCGCAACCAAAAACCCACATTTGGATGTCGCTTGGTCTCCCGTTTCCGTAAGCGTCCAACATCCGCACCATCGATACCCGTTTGTTGTTGTCGGTTTATCCAGTAAACAACCCATGTTTGCGTGTGTGTGTGTGATCTCAGCGTCCCATGTTTCTCCCAAAATATATAGCCCATATGGATACATATGGATCTCATTCTTGTTGGCTGTGGCCCTCAAAGTATGTTGAAGTTTGATGACTTTTTTGATACGTGCCAAGATTGGATTACCATTTTGTTAAGACGCTGTATTAGAAAAAACCCTATGGTAGCCATTAAACTAAATCATTGATCCATATGGGCATTTCCTGAAATGGGGGTACCCCTAAATCATCCATTCTAATGGGATTTTCCATTAACGACCCATTTTGGGGTACCGCCATTTTAGGAAACCTCCAATTTTTGGATTTTTGGAGGGTCCGCTCATAACCACGATCTGATTCTTGGCGTTTTACCCTCTGGTAAACTAACATAGCTATGGAAAATCACCATTTTCAATGGGAAAATCCACTATAAATGGCCATTTTCAATAGCTACGTTAAATTACCAGAGGGTATCTCACCCCTCGTTTTCTTCGCCTGTTTGTGGCACCAGCTCAATAAACATCTTCCCGGCTTCGTTCTCGAAACCTGCACAACTCCGGATCCGCTCACATCAAGATGGTTGTGAATGACCCAAGAATCCAACCCATAGGATCCATGGTGCTGGTATATATGCTAACATGACTGGGGTATATTGATGGGATCCATGTTACCATATATGGCATACATGGATTCTATGGGCAATGAACATTCATGGTTATTCATAAACATTAATGACAACAAATGAATGAATGTTAATGAATGACCCAATGATCCAATAGGTCGTTAATGATCCAATGCTCCAATGATCCATGGTTGTTTGGTTGACCCAATGGTTGCTAATGAATGTTAATAATTCAATGATCCATGACAAAACATGACAAAACCTTAATAAAGTCGTCATGTTGGGAAGTTGACCTTTGGATTGAAATGATAAACATACAAATGAATACTTAAGAATGCAGGATGCTTTTCAGAAATTCCAGTGGTCCCTTTCGTCTTAGTGGTCCGTAAAATTCCATCATGATGGTTGAAACCACAACCCGATGGGTCGTTGTTGTATTCGTACTTCTTCGGAAAGTTTTCCTACACAAAAAACTATCAGTGCCAACTGCTTGTGCTTTGGTACAAGTCACAAAACACCGTGGCACCAATTCAAATTCCAATTCACACTGGGAAGGCAATGAAATAGTTATGTTCATGAAGCATAGGGGCTTTGAAACAGGTTATTCCCAGAAAATGCCACTAAGAAATCAGGAATGTAAGGATGATATACCGTTTGATTCTTGGGCACCATCATATTTTATCTGCACCAACTCATTTTCCCAGGGAGCCAGGCTACCAAAGGCGAAGCATTCCAAGTTCACTGGATTAAACCCCTGAAAACCCCATTGGTGTTGACCAAATCCAGCAATTCAATGTTGTAAAGCCCTGAAAAACAACCCCATAGCCACATTTTCAGCCGTTCATTGGACCGGTTTCAGAGAACGTTGAACTTACGGAACAAAAAAACAGATCTGCAGGCAAAAACCAGGGTTTCGACCGTTTCGACCGTGGATAGCAGTCGCAACCCAGCAATTTTCGCCAGGTCCCCTGGGTCCTCATCCGGTCCCCATCCGGGCCCCATCCGGTCCCCTGCGCTGGGTCCCCGCACCATCCAAGAGATGTTTGTCCACCACCAGCTGCCATGGGCTGATCACCAAATTACCCATAACCTCGCCTTTCTGTCCGGGAGTCCTCCGGCGTATAAGGCAAGGCATGAGATATAAATTTATATAGGTTTAACCACACAAAAAGTATCACATTAAACACCATATGGGATATTAAACCATATATATATATAGTCGTGGAATCATGTTATATATTAAACATGATTACATGCGAGTTAGGCATATGATGTTTTTTTTTTACTTGATATAACATCATAGGAGTAATCCGCCGACCCCGGCAGACGCAAGGGGGAGCGCGCCAGGGAATAAGACATTCAACCCTTTAGGCAGCAGGCAGCAGGAGGGAGCAGCAGGCAGCAGCAGGCAGCAGGCAGCAGGCAGCCGCAGCCAGCAGCAGGCAGCAGCAGGCAGCAGCAGGCAGCAGCAGACACCAGCAGACACCAGCAGACACCAGCAGACACCAGCAGAGGGAGCAGCAGGCAGCAGCAAACACCAGAAGAGGGAGCAGCAGGCAGCAGCAGGCAGCAGGCAGCAGCAGGCAGCAGCAGGCAGCGGCAGGCAGCGGCAAAGTTCCAATTTTATAGTAGGGTTTCAGAAGTGGCGTTAGGCCCTTTTTTGGGGTTCAATTGGGGCTCCTTTGCTACGTTTTGGGCACGAAATTAGGTGGTGTTTTGCTGTTTCGGATGTGTTTCGAAAAGGGTGTCTGGCTGTTTGTTTCTTGCTTTGGAGGCTGTTTGATTGCAGCAGCACCACAGCGGCACCACAGCAGCACCACAGCAGCAGCAGCAGCAGCGGCAGCAGCAGCACCAGCAGCAGCAGCAGCAGCAGCACCAGCACCAGCACCAGCAGCAGGCAGCAGCAGGGAGCAGCAGGCAGGCAGCAGCAAGCAGCAGCAGGCAGCATTCGACCCTTTAGGCAGCAGGCAGCAGCAGGGAGCAGCAGGCAGCAGGCAGCAGGCAGCCGCAGGCAGCAGGCAGCCGCAGGCAGCAGTTTCAATTTTATAGTAGGGTTTCAGAAGTGACGTTAGGCCCTTTTTTGGGGTTCCTTTGCTACGTTTTGGGCACGAAATTAGGTGGTGTTTTGCTGTTTCGGATGTGTTGCGAAAAGGGTGTCTGGCTGTTTGTTTCTTGCTTTGGAGGCTGTTTGATTGCAGCAGCACCACAGCAGCAGCAGCAGCAGCCACCAGCAGCAGCACCAGCAGCAGGCAGCAGCAGGGAGCAGCAGGCAGGCATCCCATCCGCAGGCAGCCGCAGGCAGCAGCAGGCAGCAGCAGACACCAGCAGAGGCAGCAGCAGACAGCAGCAGGCAGCGGCAAAGTTTCAATTTTACAGTATGGTTTCAGAAGTGACGTTAGGCCCTTTTTTGGGGTTCCTTTGCTACGTTTTGGGCACGAAATTAGGTGGTGTTTTGCTGTTTCGGATGTGTTTCGAAAAGGGTGTCTGGCTGTTTGTTTCTTGCTTTGGAAGCTGTTTGATTGCAGCAGCACCACAGCAGCAGCAGCAGCCACCAGCAGCAGCACCAGCAGCAGGCAGCAGCAGGGAGCAGCAGGCAGCAGCAGGGAGCAGCAGGCAGCAGCAGGCAGCAGGCAGGCAGCCGCAGGCAGCAGCAGACACCAGCAGAGGCAGCAGCAGGCAGCAGCAGGCAGCAGCAGGCACCAGCAGAGGCAGCAGCAGGCAGCAGCAGGCAGCGGCAAAGTTTTAATTTTATAGTATGGTTTCAGAAGTGACGTTAGGCCCTTTTTTGGGGTTCCTTTGCTACGTTTTGGGCACGAAATTAGGTGGTGTTTTGCTGTTTCGGATGTGTTTCGAAAAGGGTGTCTGGCTGTTTGTTTCTTGCTTTGGAGGCTGTTTGATTGCAGCAGCACCACAGCAGCAGCAGCAGCAGCCACCAGCAGCAACACCAGCAGCAGGCAGCAGCAGGGAGCAGCAGGCAGGCAGCCGCAGGCAGCCGCAGGCAGCAGCAGGCAGCAGCAGGCAGCAGCAGGCAGGGGCAGGCAGCGGCAAAGTTTCAATTTTACAGTAGGGTTTCAGCAGTGACGTTAGGCAGTTTGAGTAGAAATGCATATAGCCAGTAGCCAGCAGCCAGCGGCAATAGTAGCCAGTAGGCAGTTTCGGACTACTACCACTACTATTCTATAGGGTAGAACAGCACATAGCTAGTAGCCAGCAGCCAGCAGCAATAGTAGCCAGTAGGCAGCAGTCGACAGCCAGCTTTTGGTGGTTTACGATGTGAACATCAGCAGCTGTTTGGCATCCTTCAGGTCCCAACATAACTGTAGCCTGCTTCCTTGGTGTCCTGATCAGGCAGACTGCCCAACTTTTCGGGGTCGGCGGCAGGGCGGCAGCCCTTAAATAAGATAACATTAAACATCATTAAACCATATGTAGGGTCAAGTTACTAACGTGACTCATGCTGCTCCTGGTCATCCCATGGGAGGCATGGATGACCATCCCAAAGGGACTGGGAAACAAACCATGTTTTGAACATGATTTCACTATATATTATATATATATTAATGGTTTAACATCCTATGTATATATGGTGATATGTATATATATATATATATGGTTTATTATGGTTTAATATCCTATATATATATATATCCTATATATATATCCTATATATATGGTGATATCAACTTAAATGGATTGATGATCACTTGATTTTAGTTGTCAATGGTGATATGATGGTTTATATGTTCTGTTGATGGTTTCAATCATGATTTCTTATGATGGGTTTTATTCAGTATTGAATAGTGGATGTTGCTTCGAGACAACCATGCCAGGAGTCAAAAACACCACGGTTTACGTGCCCAATGGCTCCATAGTAAACTAACACAGCTCTGGAAAGTCACCATGTTGCATAGGTAAATCATTAATTAAGTGGATTTTTGTATAGCTATGTTCGTTTACTGGAGGCGAGTTACCCCAATTCCCATTCTTCCATCCACGCATTGCCAAGTGAGGTTGCACAGAAAGGGTGATCGCTAAGTCGCTAAGTTGTTTTACACCTACAATACCTAGGGTTGATGGTAGACATAAACCAACCCCAGTTAACCCATAGCTATACAATTAATCCATAAGTTACAGCTACTTACTTAGAATCACCATAAACTTATATATATATATGTATAATATATACAAATGAAGGTGATTAATTATAGAAAATCTATAGTTAATGGGGTTTAGAAACCAACTTATAACTGTGGGGCACCATTACCTTAACAGGAGCACGAGAAGGTTGCATAGCCAGCTTGGGTGACCTATCCACCCATTTTTGCTGGGATAAACCACCAGTTTTTTGAATGCCAAATCCTCACGTCACCAAGGGTTACAGGTTGCAAGAACATAACTGGTTGGTTCAATGGTTAATATGTGGTTAATATACTGTTAATATATGGCTAATATATGGTTATAATATGTTATAATAATGCTTATTATATTGTAATGATGGATAATAATAACTGCTTGGTGGTAAAACAACCCCTCTGAAAAGTATGAGTTCGTCAGTTGGGATGATGAAATTCCCAATATATGGAAAACAATTCCATGGTTCCAGTCACCACCAAGCAAATAATCATTGACACTTGGTGGTTTGCACCCTGCTAAGCAGTTTTAGCTCCATCCCAGAAAACACGAAACACATCTAAGAATCTCCTTGGGGGTCTATGGCGATAAGAATCATCCAGAAAACTGGTCCCTTTTGGCAATCATCATCCTCCAAGTAGAAGTGCCATCTAAGGGGATGTCTATACCAAAAAGATTCAACCAACAAACAGCACCCGTATCATTTAACATCAACATTTGTCAATAGTGTACCCCATTCCATCCATTGGAAACAAATATATTTATCTTATAATTGGGGGGTATACCATTTTGATACCCAATTATAGCCCCGGTGCGAACATCTATTTACCCAGTATAAACCCATGTAACAACCATTGCCAGACAAAGCCAGGCTGAACATTTCATCGCCCGGTTTTCCTGGCGATCTCGAACTTCACAAATTGGAAGACGTCCTAAATGTGTTGGGTGAGATGTTTCACATACCACGAAGGGACCCCAAAATGACTCTATATATATAATTTATATATATATAACTATATATAACTATATATATATGAGTATCTATAAAAGTGGATGCAATACGAAATCATGGTTTATTGGAACGTATTTTATGATTGTTATTATGTAGTTATATATTCGGATGCAGATATCAGCAACAGGAAAAGTGTGAGTCCTGCGGAAAGTGTGGAACTTCACCAAGAAAAAGGCAATATGACTCAAATTCCCGTGGATTAGTTGAGCGATTCGGCACTTGGAGGCATGAATTGTTTGGTTGCTGGTTTCGAAACACAGCCCACGACTGTCATTACTGCCCAATCCTCCAAATGATGGAAAGACATGGGGCTTACAAAATTAGATGAAGGAAACATCATGAAACATCTACACGACGCCCTGTTTTCCTATGGTAAATTCATGTAAATTCATAGCTCTCAACAATCATTCACTTAGGCTACCAGGCTACCACCCTGTTTGAATGTATGGCAAGCAAGCCTTCCTTCCAATTTAAAATTCCTGGTAGATGTTGTTCTGCGGCGGCTCCACCGTCCTGTAAATCTCCACATAGTGCACCATGAAATCCCGGAGATCTTGCCACAGCTAGTGGTTGTCCCTCCACCATTTTTTCCATGACTTCCATCAGGTCGGCTGTTCCTGGATTTGAGATCCCCTTCTCCTCCACGAAGGGTTCAAACAGTTTGGAAAACAGCTTCGCTGTGATCTTCTCCCCTGCTACCTGGTTGGGCTTGTTGTGGTATGATTCATGCAGCGCTGACTTTTTTGAAGGGTCCAACTCGTGTGCATCTTTGGCCACTCTGTGCATGGATTCCTGGACATCCGGTCGTAAAAGGTACCAACACCTCCAACTGACCTTGTCCATCATCCAGTACTGCACACTGGGAAACATCTTGTCGCACTCCTTGCAGCCGTCAAATATCCCCATGATGGGGACTCTGGCCTTGTATTGACAGGGACGCCAGCTCTGGGAGTACCGGGTCTCTTTGCAGTATGGCAATCCTATCGGCAACATCAGCTCTGCGGCCGGTGAAGTGCCGGTGGCAATGGTGGTGGTGTGGCAGCGGAGAATGGCGGGAAAAAAACGAAAAGAATTGTTCAAAGCCATTTATCTGTGGATAGTAGTACTAACAAAATCACTATGTGTTTTGTTTGGCCTTAGATGTAGTATGATCTGATACAACTTATTTGATTTTGACCTAGGCCCGTTTATCTTGGGCTTTTGCTCGAAGTTCTTCAAAAAAAGGCAGCCTTTGATGGTCAAAAAAAATCTTAACCGAGGTGCTAGCTCTGCCTAAACTGATGCTTCAATTCTCATCCTGATGAATGTTGGTCAAAGCACGCTAAGCCAGGATCGCTAAGGCCCATGATTCAAATCAGATTTGATGGTTAAACAAGGTTAAACACCTTCGTCTGTTTGGTTTTTCACCCACGCATTCTGACGATTGGTTTAACCAACAGAATCATTGCTGGTTTTTTTATCCAGTCCTTTTTGGGTCAATCCCCTGACGTTTGACACTTGAATTCCATCAGTATTGATTGTAAAGTCAAAACGTTTACCCTCTGGTAATTTAACATAGCTATTGAAAATGGCTATTTATACTGGATTTTCCCATTAAAAACGGTGATGTTCCATAGTTATGCTAGTGTACCAGAGGGTAAACCCTATGTTTTCCTGTGTTGGGTGATCAACAGCCCAGTTTTGATTCTTAAATCCAGCCTTTTCGTTGTAGGATGTTGCTGGTTATAGGCTTAAATTCCACTTCATCCATCTTTATCATCCCACAAAAGAATATCCCATACATCATAGCTTCGACACCTCCCTTGTTGACATGTTTCTTATTAAATCCACCAGTTTTGATGCCTAGATTCTAGTTTTCTATGGCTATATCCCATTAAACAAAAACATGTCTCATGGTTCCAAGACTCGAAACGTAACCCCCAAAAAAAGATGCCGAAACGTGATTTTTTTCTGTGAGTGTTCACTCCCGATTTTTGCTTAGGGTCTACATTCTACCCTTTCTGGGGGTTACGTGACATAAACACCTCCCGGTATCATCCGGATGCTTTATGGGATGGCCATTCTGAATGCCAAACACGTCCAGAAGCAAATGCGATAACTCACCTTAGTAAATTTCGATAAATCACCAACTTAGCCCCGAACTTTGGCATACCCTCTGGTAATCTAGTCGCAATCTATAACAGCTTGCTGAGTAGTAGATGGTGATTCTTCATAGGGATATACCATAACAATTAGATTGACTACCCGGCCTGGTAAACATACAAACAACTATTGAAGCCATGGCCCAGTCGAAATAGTGGATTTACCCAGCTAGAAAATGGGTGAATCTTTCCATAGTTATGTAAACGTTTACCAGAGGGTATATGATATTATAACTCCAAGTCATAATATTGGGGCAACATAAATTTGGGTGCAAAACATCAAACAAATTGAACCAACTGTTGACCTTTTTTTCTTGATGGTTTCAACCCCTCTGAACAATATGAAAGCCAGTTGGGATGATGATTTCATATATTATGGAAAAATAATCCAAATGTTCCAAACCACCAACCAGTTTTCCATATATTTTCCATATATTTTCCATATATGTTCCATATATGTTCCATATATTTTCCATATATATGTTCCATAAACCATAGATATCCCACATATTTTCCAAGAATCGGTATGCTTGCAGTTCTTCGCGAACTCCGCCAGCGCCTCCACCATGACGGTGATCACCTGGAACCCGAGCCGAGACCAACGGTGACTGATGTGACCGATGTGATGGTTTATATACCATACAGTTATGGCCATTTATCAGTTATAAGTACTTATAACCCCATTTATAGAATGTATAATCCCATTTATAACCAGTTATAACTGGTAAATTGCCATAACTGTAGGATCCATGGTGCTGGTACAATGTGGGCCCCCCCAGTGATGCGAATGTTGGTTTATAAACCCCAGGAATACTACAGTTATTTGCGTATCATAAACCATAGTGACATTGGAGTTATTTGCACCAACTGAACGCTATCGTTTGGGGGCCCCACTTTGTATATATGCTAACATGACTGGGGTATATTGATGGGATCCATGTTACCATATATAGCAGCACCATGGATCCGTCATGGGATATGGAATGTATGGAATATATGGTAGAATACTATGGATATTTCTACTACTACTATCATAGGAATAAAACACAAGTGGTTATAACTCCTATCAACGACTATGGAAATACTATGGATATATCTGATACATCTACAGATATCTACCGTTTTTTATAGGAGTTTTTTCATCAGCTGTTGATGGATTTCATCTATAAACCATCAGCCAACTAGTTATATATATATAGTATAATTATATACTAGTTAGATAGGACTAAATCCAACAAACTATTAGATGGTCAATACTGATTGCATATCCTATCTCTATATATATATGTAGTTGGATAATTGGTTTATATCTACCATAAATCATAGTTGGACAAGCTGCAAATTCCAACAACTGGATTTTGAGTTCACAAAAAAGTGGTAAATGTCTAAAATCTATCTGTTTCAGGGTTACTATAGCGATGACTTAACATGATTTAACCAATAAACATAGCCAGTTAGCTGTCTCAGAAGGACATTGGACTTTGAGCAGGACGCTGACGGGTTGCCTACGACGTGTTTTGGTCAAGCTTGGATACCCTGAAACAACCCACAAAAAAACACTGTACCAATAGCTAGTATACCGCCCATGGCACTTTTAATGATGAGGATTAAGCAGGCAATGGATTTATGATGGGATTTATGATGATTTCTGAATTTATGGATACCGTATTTTCAGACAAACCCATGTCAATCGTGAACAATTTCCCGCAAAATCTAGCCGTGCGCAATACCCAAAGAGTTGTACCTAGCTGATCTGCCCGAAGTTTCCAGCAAGTTCTTGGTCATTCCCAATCTAGAAATCCTCGTGATGTTGGTCGAATCCCGAAATTCCATGAAATTCCATGCTTTGCAATCCATTGGCTATCCGTATCTATCCATATGGGTGAAGCTGGCACCTTTTTTCCTGTTTTTTCCCATGTTGTTCCATATATATTTCCATATGTTTTCAGAAGTTGTTTCAGAATGTTTCCATGGTTTTCCAATGATTTCCATAGAGTTTCAGCATTTTCCGAGGTGTTCCTCTGTTTTTTTGGGGGAAACTTCCTCCACCGCCACTGTCCCTGGTGCCGTCCTTCTGCTCCGACTTGGCGTATTCCTTGGCCGCCGCCTCATAGACTTGCAACAAGACCTGCAGTGCTCTGTGGACGATGGTGGGGTTGATGATATTTTGCCAATAACGGGGATATATTCATACTGTAATGGAATACTATGGGATAATGCATGGGATATATGGGATAATATGGTTAATCATCAATAGATATGGTGTATGGTTATTAATATCTGGCTTGTGGTATACCTACCCTTCTGAAAAATATGAGTTCGTCACTTGGGATGATGAAATTCCCAATATACGGAAAAGTAAAACATGTTCCTTTTACCAACTAAATATGGTATCATATGGTTAGTATCCTTGTATACAATAAAGGATCTTTTTCGGCATATGGGTAAGATGATGGGCAATAGAGATGATTATGGTCACCTATCTTGTATATAGTGGGATCGGGATTCTAGAGTATCTATGAGTGGGATTTGAGCACCGGTTGAGGATTAAGTGTGTGATTCTGTTGACCCTCGATCCATACCCAAAGCTTCTAGCCTTCTAAAAACTACATTCAGCAGAAGTGTAGCCAGTAGCTTGGCCCAAATGCTGAATTTCATCGCTCGTCTCTGCCCAAGTTTCAAATGATCAAACAAAATGTCATTCAAAACCCACTTAGGACTGAGACTAGCTCTTTTTTTGGATACCAACAACACTATCTCAGAAAAAAAAACTGCGGAATCCACATCTAAACCCACCACTTTCGAGTCACCAGTGTCTCACTCTCTCTCCACGCCTCAAAAATCATCTCCAAGGGGAAGTTGCCTCGATGCGTTTCGGCTAACATCACTGTCCGCAAAAAAAAAAGCAGTGCCAAGCCTTAAAATGGTCAGTTCTTGGACATAACGGAAAGTGCCGAAATTCTGAATTGGGGGTCCCGGGTTTTCAAACACTTCACCCACATAATCCAACAGGAGCTTCCCTTGTGTGCCGGGATGGAAATCTGGATCAGCCAGAACTTCCACTGCAATCCCAAAAAAAAATTGAAGGTTACACTGTTACACCACAACTACATGACTACATGGTATAGTTAACCATATATATAACCCAAGGCCACACTCTCGTCAAACGGAGATGAGTGATACTTGGGTAGCCCATTTTCAATTGACACTCCATACAGTAAGTTATACCAATGTTACTACCCTATAGTATCATAGAATTTAACATCACCAAACAACTTTAAGATGACCTTCCCATGGTACCAGCTCCCCTTGGCCCTACATCTTCCCATGGATCCTATGGATCCCATACCAGCTGCCCCAGGTGCCCATGGTTCCGCGGTGCCTTCGTTCTTCTTGGCGTTGTCCAAAAAGCTGGGCGCATGGTACAGCAGAAACCCGGGCCTTGGAGGATTTCGAAGGTCAGATCACTGGGATTCATCGATTTGTCCATCGATTTGCCAAGTTTGCCAATCTGGAGGGCACCCGTAAACGAAATCGCTAAGTTGGTGCACACAACTCCAATAATTATGGTTTATATAAATTAAAACTACTTATAACTATAGTTATATAATGGGGTTTATAAAAAAAAAAGTTCACATCACTCAAGGGCCCCACATTGTACAGTAGACTATTTCCCTAAACAGACATGGCTATTCACCATCGTCTCAGTGATGTTGCAATGAGGTCATTGTCATTTATCCTCGTGGTTGGCTAAGGTTGCAACCACCTGAAATCTGTGCAAGACTATCATCCCAAAATTTGAAACAGATTTGATACATACTATTGGAAACAGATTTGAACATTTAGATCATCCCAAAATTTGGTTGAACTACTATTTGAAACCATCCATCAGATCTAAACAGATCTGATTTTGATGCATTTTTTCATTGCGGTGGTTGCACCTGTAATGGTCTCATCCTCGCAGAGGATCACCATACAGCTGGTGTCAACCCATCCCGGCCGCATTTTTTTGGCGGGATGGCAGGCTAGAAATTTGATAGAAGTTATACTTGAATAAACTACTCCTTTGTCAAAGTAGATGGCTCTGAATCTTGAGTTGAGCCATCTATGTCAAAAAAAATGGGGGATAGATGGCTCAACTCCCTTTAAAACAGGCCAGTTGAGCCATCTATGTCCCAAAAAAATACTTTTTTTTGCAATCTTCTGCGCTGGTTTCTCCCCATTTTTTTTTCTCAACGTCAAGCTGTTTTTTTGGGACATAGATGGCGCAACTCCCGGAGTTGCGCCATCTATGTGGGCATTCCCAGCCTGATTTTGGCGAAATGACGGAAGTTGTTTTGAGCCAGCAAAGGTCGAGACGCTTTAAAACCCAATTTTAACAAGTGACCTGAGGAACCGTTTCTTGAGGGCAAAAACGGTTCCTCAGGTCACTTGTTAAATTTGGGTTTTAAAGCGTCTCGACCTTTGCTGGCAAAGTTCTTTCCACAATCAGTTATAAAACCTTCAGTGGTTCATTTTTAAGGCGTGGCACTGAATTTTTGAAAGATTTGAATGCGATTTGAGGGACATAGATGGCGCAATTCATTTTTGAACCCATCGAAAAAAGATTCTGGCGTTTGAATGGGATTTAAGGGACATAGATGGCGCAACTCATTTTATACAATACAAATTTGTGCAATTCCGCCGTATATACAAGCAAAAATTATAGGAAATGTAGTAAACTTAGTTAACAATACCCTTATGTCCATCTACTGGAGTGGCAGTTGCGCCATCTACCTTTTCATTTTAAACTAGGGTGATTTGTTTTTCAATTGGCGGACCTCGTTTTATGTTCCAGCTAAAATAGCGCCGTTTTCTTTCTCAACCCGCGGTGCCATCTTATGGGCATTTTGGTTTTTGAGTTGAGCCATCTACTTTGACAAAGGTGTAACTTGTATGTCATATATATATATAATATACACAGTACACTATATGCAACAGCAACCAGAAGAGCTTCACCATGACCCCAAGCACCCCTGGTGGAATTTTCCGGGCCCCTGGCGTAATTTTGACCCCATCGGCATTCAGGAATTCCACCAGTTTGTTTCGCCTCGGTTTGTGATGGGATGCCGAGAGACAGCTAGAATCAATGGTGGCGTTTGGGAGGACAAGGATGATGATATGATGATTTATGGTGATTCTATATGGTGATATATATATATATATGATTATGATTATGATTATGATGCTGATGATGATGATGATGATGATGTTCATTCTCAGTATTATCTAATTGGTGGTATACCTACCCCTTGAAAAATATGAAAGTCAGATTGGATCATCATCCCAACCATTGCGGAAAATAAAATTCATGTTCCAAATCACCTATCATTCTGATTCTTATTAACATTAGCAAAACCACTATCATTATCATCATGCTGATTGTTAATGATCATTCTCATCATGGTTGTTGTGATGATGGTTAGATTCGATCAAGTTATTGCTCTGTACATACAATGTGCCCCCCCCCAGTTATATGTTGGTTTATAACTCCAATAACTATGGTTTATGGTACCAACTTAGCTATCTTGGGGGCCTCGCATTGTAGCAATGTATCATCATCAAACGCACTGCTATTCAAACAATGATAGGAAGCCACGTGCATCCACTTAACAGTTTGGCAACTCAACAGGTACCCATAGGTGGTGCCCAAGTGATTGCTAAACTTGTTGAGTTCACTAATGTTTCACTACCGGAGACACTTAATGGATTTCATAAACAACTTACAACTCAGGGGGGCGGATTTGTCTCTTTTGGGGGTCAAGAAATCAATGTTGTTTGACACCTAACGTTGATTTTCCCGTTGCAGTTCCCATGTTTGTTGCTTCACGGCTGACCCCCTCCGCGTTCAAGTCAGCGCCACAAGAGGCCATGATATTCCCATGATAGCTGTCTTTTAACATCTCTAGTTGAACAGTTGGATAGCATTTGTGCATATTATATCAACAATACACCATATTTACCCCATATATATATAGTATATAATGTCAATAACATATATATATATATACAATATATAAATATTATGACATAATACCTTATACATATACATATCTATATATAATTCAGATACTACACCCTACACCTCCAAACACCTTCTGAGACTGCTTGATTTGGGCTTGATAGGGTCCAAACACCTTCTCAGATACTATTTGAAGCACTCATGGGTCAATAATGATGGTCAACCCAGTATTAAATCATGAATTTAATCATAATTAATCATCAAAATTCCATTTTAGATATCCATTCATCATGGATAACTCATGATAAATCCCCCATTTTTCCTGGTTTTTCTCCGGGACCGGAGATCCCCGCGGCCTCCACCGCAGCGTCGAAACGGGTCAACCGGGTCCCCCGGACTTGTCCTCCTCCAGGCGGAGCCAGGCCGCCTGGATGCGTTCCCCGGCCGCTTGGTCGAAGGCGCGCATCATGCAGGCCTGGTGCCACTGGTGCCACTGGTCGTGTTTTGGGGGGATGAATTACCATTGGGGGATGGTGGTGTGAATGGATGGGAAATTTGGGGATTTGGAACGTTGTTATTTGCATTTTTTGGGGGGGAATTGGAAGATTTTAGATAGATCCTATCTAAAAGTGGACATTTTCATGGATGAATTATTCACTTGAATTCAAGTTTGGAGATGAATTGATGAACTATATTCATTGGATTTATGGGGATGATATTCACATCACATCACTAGTGGAAATGGAACCCATTTCAGTGGGATAATTTATGCACATTCAAGCTGGCCAGGTGCCAAGGCTGCTGCACCGTCAAATCTCTGTGGGAATGGCTGGAAAGCACCATGAAAACAGCTCCCCTGCAGGTCCGAGGCACAAGTCGCACCAAAGCACGTTGATCTCGGTTGCCTCACGGTGCGGGAAAACAATGGATGACCGGCCTTTGAAATGTGCGGTTCGAAAAACTCCGAAGGTGCAAGTTTTTTGATTGTAAGTTGTGTTTGTCTACTGGAGTTTGAGGTGCCTCCATTTTTGGGTCAAACCCATGCCTGAAAGCATCCCCAATAACCAGAGATGAGTTGCAAATAAGCCTCCCCGGAGGGTTTTCGCATTGGTTCTACCACATTAGTAGGCAAATACGGGATACTAAATACAGGTGAACCATGGGGAGCCTGACAACAAATCAACTTTGTCCTGTCCTGTGCAAATTCTACAGCCTTGATATTTGAATACAGCTCGGACAGCCTGCGCGGCTGTAAAGTCCCGCATTGGTTTCGTTTGAAAACCGCAAGACGGTCCATATGCCAATTGTTTGATACATTGGTTACTGACCAATCTTCAGTGATATGGCAATAGTGATAGTAATGTACTAATATGATATGGCAATATCAATATGGCAATCTTACATATGCCAAGTTGTTTTACTTTAACCAACAAAAGTAATATAGTAATGTAATAGTGATATTGGGGTTGACACTAGCAAATCTTTTATACATCGCAATAATTTATTTACTTGGTTATATTAACTCCCCATCCCTTCGCCCGAAAGAAAATCCGCCCCCTTACAAAAAACTCAAAAACACGATGAATGGCACATGTTCCAGCAATACATGGACAAGAAAAAAGTTGGCTCATGTTGGCTCATGTTGGCTCATGTTGGCTCATGTTGGCTCATGTTGGCTCATGGATTAATACCAACATATACCAACAACAAATGATGACATATGATGACTCAATATGACTTAACAAATGATGACAGTTGGTAAATAGAACATCTGTTCCAAGAGCAAATGATGATTTAATAATCTAATACTTACCCTCCAGAAATCAAACATAACAATGGAAACCCATTGATCATCATATTTATCGACTCTATTTTCTCTAAACCTCCATATAGTTCGAGGATTTCCCAGCCAGCCACGTTTGATCCCAGGCCGGCCATTCCTCCCTGGGCCGCCGTGCCATCCATGCGGAAGTTGAGGCCCTGGTTCCGGGCCCGCGCTTCCAGGAAACGGTCGTAGACCTTCACGGCCCCGTCCTGCCGGGATGGGTGAAGGTTAGCAGGAAAAACCATGGGAAAACCATGGGAAAACATAGGAAACCATGGGAAAACCATGGGACAAACATGGGAAAATGTGGATGAAACCAACAAACATGTGGATTTCCATGGGGTATGTTTGTGGCTGATTTATGATCGCTAAGTTGACGTAAAATCATTTGGTTAACTTTGGTTCATCCATCTTGATCATCCATAGGATTTTACGTGATTTTATCATGAACGAAAGGGAATGTTTAATCCCATCACCCAAACATAAAACACCCCAATTTATGGTCCCCCAAAAATGTGGAAAATCCCAACAAAAAAAACAATGGTTTCGTTCTACGGGGGTGTTTTTTTAATAATATGAACAGGGGAATGGAGAAAATGACTGGAATCCCAAGAATCCAAAGATTTCTGGAGATTCAACCAACCCAAATTTGGAATCTAACCATCCTGCTGGTTTTCTGACGACCATGCATGACCATGGATACATCAAGAGGTCCCCACATGATCCGCAAAAAAAAATGGACAAAAACAATAGGTTTTATTGGTTTTCAGGTGCTTGGCGTTTTCCACAAAGGGCTTCCCTTTCGTGCAGCTGCCAACAGTGGCAGAGTTTGCGCCCCTTTTCTTGATGCACACCAGTACAGCCAGGGTGTCCTTTCGAAGCTGAGGCTCGAATCTAATCTATGTTTGTCGATTTAGATGGCCCCAATATCACTTATTGGTTTGTCTATAAAAAAAGGTCCCCAATTGTATGTACTTTGATGGTAGCCGTTTCACATAGGGCCCATAGGGCCATGGATCCAGACTTCCTCGACACCATGAATCCCTTCGCGAATAGATCCAATATAGTCCATCGTTGATAAACTCCATTGCAGTAACTATCGATAACTATAGATAATCATAGATTAGATAACTTTAGATAACTACAAATAACTCTAACATTACAAGTAGATACCTTTAGAGAACGATCAGGAATCAGAGGAGAAACATCCCAATTCAGGTCCTCCATCAAGTGCATCAAAGTGTCCAAGCCCACCTGACGGAAAACAACATAGCCACGTGGGTGTGTTGTGGTGTAAAAACTGGATTATGCAAAATGAATGAACTAACCAACTAAACTAAGTTACAAAATAATTAAGTTACTTAATTACAAACTAACTAACTAACTAACTAACTTACTTACTTACTTACTTACTTACTTACTTACTTCCTAACCAACTCACTAACTAACTTAATTACTAACTTACTAAATAACACGATGTGCCGATTCTACAACGAATTGTTGCTAATTCTTACCCGTTGTTCATCAACATGTTCGCTGCAAAATATAACATACCCATGTACGGATCAGAACCTGGACATGTACCCAATGTACCCTGGATCAGAACCTGGACATGTACTTAAGTACACCATACCTGGAACAGAATCATATATATGTTTGTGGACCGAAACTAGAAATTCAACAAAGAGCCAACCATAAATCAACCATCCACGTTTCTCTAAATATCTTTAAGGCTCCAAATAAAGCAGTTGTGCCCCCTAGGCTCGGATGGTTGAATACCAAAGATGACCATCCATTTCCGGGTCTGTTGCTACCTGTGGGTGGACATGGTTTTTGTTGACACCTTTTGATCAAATCAATCGAAATATCTAAATCAAATCCCTATTTTGAATGCTTCAAACCAAACTTGGATCCAATCTGGGATGCTAAGGGTCACATTGATTCATATGAAATCATATGAAATCCAGAGATATCTCCATGCTTGGATCATTTGTTGTGGCCTACCTGAGCCCCATCACCAGCTCCGGCCGCGTGACCTCAAAGTTCTTGTAGTTGGTTTCAGTCATAAAGATGGAACCATCCAAGCTATTGGCCCCAGCCACGCCACACCTCGACCAATGGTGGCGTTTCTTTTGTTTTTTCGACTTTTAACCACTGATAAAGGGGAAAAAAACGAAAATATGCATCCAGGTGTCAGAAACAGATGGAAACATGTGGCAAACAAGAATGAGACACGGTTCCACACATCAAAAATGGAGATTAAAGCCTTGAAATGTGGTCTCCCCAAGCAACAATAGGATATGGAGCCACCAATTCAAAGCCTGGTCACTTGCATCGGCATCGCTTAGATGGTTTCACAGGATGGGGTTGGGGCAAACTGAGGCTATCTTCGAGGTGTAGGTTGGTAGTCTACAGTGCTTAGTTGGCCTCAGAGGCTGGGGGCTGGGGCAAACTGATGCTATCTTCGGGGATGTAGGTTGGTAGCCTACAGTGCTTAGTTGGCCTCAGAAGGTGGGGTTGGGGCAAACTGATGCTATCTTGGGGGTGTAGGTTGGTAGCCTACAGTGCTTAGTTGGCGTCACAGGGTGGGGCTGGGGCAAACTGATGCTATCTTGGGGGTGTAGGTTGGTAGCCTGCAGTGCTTAGTTGGCGTCCCAGGGTGGGGCTGGGGCAAACTGATGCCATCTTGGGGGTGTAGGTTGGTAGCCTACAGTGCTTAAGTTGGCGTCACAGGGTGGGGCTGGGGCAAACTGATGCTATCTTGGGGGTGTAGGTTGGTAGCCTACAGTGCTTAGTTGGCGTCACAGGGTGGGGCTGGGGCAAACTGATGCTATCTTGGGGGGTAGGTTGGTAGCCTACAGTGCTTAGTTGGCGTCACAGGGTGGGGCTGGGGCAAACTGATGCTATCTTGGGGCTGTAGGTTGGTAGCCTACAGCGCTTAGTTGGCCTCAGAGGGTGGGGCTGGGGCAAACTGATGCTATCTTGGGGGTGTAGGTTGGTAGCCTACAGTGCTTAGTCGGCCTCGGTGGGGCTGGTGCAAACTGAGGCTATCTTGGGGATGTAGGTTGGTAGCCTACAGTGCTTAGTTGGCGTCACAGGGTGGTGCTGGGGCAAACTGATGCTATCTTGGGGGTGTAGGTTGGTAGCCTACAGCGCTTAGTTGGCCTCAGAGGCTGGGGGCTGGGGCAAACTCATGCTATCTTGGGGGTGTAGGTTGGTAGCCTACAGTGCTTAGTCGGCCTAGGTGGGGCTGGTGCAAACTGAGGCTATCTTGGGGATGTAGGTTGGTAGCCTACAGCGCTTAGTTGGCCTCAGAGGGTGGGGTGCTGGAGCAAACTGATGCTATCTTGGGGCTGTAGGTTGGTAGCCTACAGCGCTTAGTTGGCCTCAGAGGCTGGGGGGCTGGGGCAAACTGATGCTATCTTGGGGCTGTAGGTTGGTAGCCTACAGCGCTTAGTTGGCCTCAGAGGGTGGGGCTGGGGCAAACTGATGCTATCTTGGGGGTGTAGGTTGGTAGCCTACAGTGCTTAGTCGGCCTAGGTGGGGCTGGTGCACACTGATGCTATCTTGGGGTGTAGGTTGGCAGCCTACAGCCCTTAGTTGGCCTCAGAGGGTGTGGTGGGGCTGGGGCAAACTGATGCTATCTTGGGGATGTAGGTTGGTAGCCTACAGTGCTTAGTTGGCGTCACAGGGTGGGGCTGGGGCAAACTGATGCTATCTTGGGGATGTAGGTTGGTAGCCTACAGTGCTTAGTTGGCGTCACAGGGTGGGGCTGGGGCAAACCGATGCTATCTTGGGGGTGTAGGTTGGTAGCTTACAGTGCTTAGTTGGCGTCACAGGGTGGGGCTGGGGCAAACTGATGCTATCTTGGGGGTGTAGGTTGGTAGCCTACAGTGCTTAGTTGGCGTCACAGGGTGGGGCTGGGGCAAACTGATGCTATCTTGGGGATGTAGGTTGGTAGCCTACAGCGCTTAGTTGGCGTCACAGGGTGGGGCTGGGGCAAACTGATGCTATCTTGGGGATGTAGGTTGGTAGCCTACAGTGCTTAAGTTGGCGTCACAGGGTGGGGCTGGGGCAAACATGATGCTATCTTGGGGGTGTAGGTTGGTAGCCTACAGTGCTTAGTTGGCGTCACAGGGTGGGGCTGGTGCAAACTGATGCTATCTTGGGGATGTAGGTTGGTAGCCTATACAGTGCTTAGTTGGCCTCAGAGGTGGGGGTGGGGCAAACTGATGCTATCTTGGGGATGTAGGTTGGTAGCCTATACAGTGCTTAGTTGGCCTCAGAGGTGGGGCTGGGGCAAACTGATGCTATCTTGGGGATGTAGGTTGGTAGCCTACAGTGCTCAGTTGGCGTCACAGGGTGGGGCTGGGGCAAACTGATGCTATCTTGGGGATGTAGGTTGGTAGCCTACAGTGCTTAGTTGGCGTCACAGGGTGGGGCTGGGTCAAACTGATGCTATCTTGGGGATATAGGTTGGTAGCCTACAGTGCTTAGTTGGCGTCACAGGGGGGCTGGGTCAAACTGATGCTATCTTGGGGGTGTAGGTTGGTAGCCTACAGTGCTTGGTTGGCGTCACAGGGTGGGGCTGGGCCAAACTGATGCTATCTTGGGGGTGTAGGTTGGTAGCCTACAGTGCTTAGTTTGCGTCACAGGGTGGGGCTGGGGCAAACTGATGCTATCTTGGGGGTGTAGGTTGGTAGCCTACAGTGCTTAGTTGGCGTCACAGGCTATCTTGGGGGTGTAGGTTGGTAGCCTACAGTGCTTAGTTGGCGTCACAGGGTGGGGCTGGGGCAAACTGATGCTATCTTGGGGGTGTAGGTTGGTAGCCTACAGTGCTTAGTTGGCGTCACAGGGTGGGGCTGGGGCAAACTGATGCTATCTTGGGGGTGTAGGTTGGTAGCCTACAGTGCTTAGTTGGCCTCACAGGTGGGGCTGGGGCAAACTGATGCTATCTTGGGGGTGTAGGTTGGTAGCCTACAGTGCTTAGTTGGCGTCACAGGGTGGGGCTGGTGCAAACTGATGCTATCTTGGGGATGTAGGTTGGTAGCCTATACAGTGCTTAGTTGGCCTCAGAGGTGGGGGTGGGGCAAACTGATGCTATCTTGGGGATGTAGGTTGGTAGCCTATACAGTGCTTAGTTGGCCTCAGAGGTGGGGCTGGGGCAAACTGATGCTATCTTGGGGATGTAGGTTGGTAGCCTACAGTGCTCAGTTGGCGTCACAGGGTGGGGCTGGGGCAAACTGATGCTATCTTGGGGATGTAGGTTGGTAGCCTACAGTGCTTAGTTGGCGTCACAGGGTGGGGCTGGGTCAAACTGATGCTATCTTGGGGATATAGGTTGGTAGCCTACAGTGCTTAGTTGGCGTCACAGGGGGGCTGGGTCAAACTGATGCTATCTTGGGGGTGTAGGTTGGTAGCCTACAGTGCTTGGTTGGCGTCACAGGGTGGGGCTGGGCCAAACTGATGCTATCTTGGGGGTGTAGGTTGGTAGCCTACAGTGCTTAGTTTGCGTCACAGGGTGGGGCTGGGGCAAACTGATGCTATCTTGGGGGTGTAGGTTGGTAGCCTACAGTGCTTAGTTGGCTCAGAGGGTGGGGCTGGGGCAAACTGATGCTATCTTGGGGGTGTAGGTTGGTAGCCTACAGTGCTTAGTTGGCGTCACAGGGTGGGGCTGGGGCAAACTGATGCTATCTTGGGGGTGTAGGTTGGTAGCCTGCAGTGCTTAGTTGGCGTCCCAGGGTGGGGCTGGGGCAAACTGATGCCATCTTGGGGGTGTAGGTTGGTAGCCTACAGTGCTTAGTTGGCGTCACAGGGTGGGGCTGGGGCAAACTGATGCTATCTTGGGGGTGTAGGTTGGTAGCCTACAGTGCTTAGTTGGCGTCACAGGGTGGGGCTGGGGCAAACTGATGCTATCTTGGGGGTGTAGGTTGGTAGCCTACAGTGCTTAGTTGGCGTCACGGGGTGGGGCTGGGGCAAACTGATGCTATCTTGGGGGTGTAGGTTGGTAGCCTACAGTGCTTAGTTGGCGTCACAGGCTGGGGCTGGGGCAAACTGATGCTATCTTGGGGGTGTAGGTTGGTAGCCTACAGTGCTTAGTTGGCATCACAGGGTGGGGCTGGGGCAAACTGGTGCTATCTTGGGGGTGTAGGTTGGTAGCCTACAGTGCTTAGTTGGCGTCACAGGGTGGGGCTGGGGCAAACTGGTGCTATCTTGGGGGTGTAGGTTGGTAGCCTGACAGTGCTTAGTTGGCGTCACAGGTGGGGCGGGGCAAAAACTGATGCTACTGGGGGTTGTAGGTTTGGTTAGCCTTACAGTGGCTTAGTTGGCGTCACAGGCTGGGGCTGGGGCAAACTGATGCTATCTGGGGGTGCAGGTTGGGGGTAGTTGGAGCCTACAGTGCTTAGTATGGCGGGCAACAGGGGGGGCTGGGGCAAACTGATGCATCTGGGGGGGTTGAGGTAGGTGGTAGCCTACAGCGCTTAGTTGGCGTCACAGGGTGGGGCTGGGGCAAACTGATGCTATCTTGGGGTGTAGGTTGGTAGCCTACAGTGCTTAGTTGGCGTCACAGGGTGGGGCTGGCGCAAACTGATGCTATCTTGGGGGTGTAGGTTGGTAGCCTACAGTGCTTAGTTGGCGCCACAGGGTGGGGCTGGGGCAAACTGATGCTATCTTGGGGGTGTAGGTTGGTAGCCTACAGTGCTTAGTTGGCGTCACAGGGTGGGGCTGGGGCAAACTGATGCTATCTTGGGGGTGTAGGTTGGTAGCCTACAGTGCTTAGTTGGCGTCACGGGGTGGGGCTGGGGCAAACTGATGCTATCTTGGGGGTGTAGGTTGGTAGCCTACAGTGCTTAGTTGGCGTCACAGGCTGGGGCTGGGGCAAACTGATGCTATCTTGGGGGTGTAGGTTGGTAGCCTACAGTGCTTAGTTGGCATCACAGGGTGGGGCTGGGGCAAACTGGTGCTATCTTGGGGGTGTAGGTTGGTAGCCTACAGTGCTTAGTTGGCGTCACAGGGTGGGGCTGGGGCAAACTGGTGCTATCTTGGGGGTGTAGGTTGGTAGCCTTACAGTGCTTAGTTGGCGTCACAGGCTGGGGCGGGGGCAAAACTGATGCTATCTTGGGGGTGTTCGGTTGTAGCCTACAGTGCTTAGTGCATCACAGGTGGGGCTGGGGGGCAAACTGGTGCTATCTTGGGGGTGTTTGTAGGGGGTTGATAGCCTACAGTGCTTAGTTGGCGTTCACAGGGGGGCTGGGGCAAAAACTGGTGCTATCTGGGCGTGATATGTAGGTTGGTAGCCTGCAGTGCTTAGTTGGCGTCCCAGGGTGGGGCGCTGGGGCAACAAACTTGAATGCTATATTGGGGGTGTAGGTGGTAGCCTACATGCTTAGTTGGCGTAACAGGGTGGGCTGGGGCAACTGATGCTATATTGGGGGGTTGTAGGTTGGTCGCTTACAGTGTCTTTAGTGGCGTCACAGGGTGGGGCTGGGGCAAACTGATGCTATCTTGGGGATGTAGGTTGGTAGCCTACAGCGCTTAGTTGGCGTCACAGGGTGGGGCTGGGGCAAACTGATGCTATCTTGGGGATGTAGGTTGGTAGCCTACAGTGCTTAGTTGGCGTCACAGGGTGGGGCTGGGGCAAACTGATGCTATCTTGGGGGTGTAGGTTGGTAGCCTACAGTGCTTAGTTGGCGTCACAGGGTGGGGCTGGGCAAACTGATGCTATCTTGGGGGTGTAGGTTGGTAGCCTACAGTGCTTAGTTGGCGTCACAGGGTGGGGCTGGGGCAAACTGATGCTATCTTGGGGGTGTAGGTTGGTAGCCTACAGTGCTTAGTTGGCGTCACAGGGTGGGGCTGGGTCAAACTGATGCTATCTTGGGGGTGTAGGTTGGTAGCCTACAGTGCTTAGTTGGCGTCACAGGGGGGCTGGGTCAAACTGATGCTATCTTGGGGGTGTAGGTTGGTAGCCTACAGTGCTTGGTTGGCGTCACAGGGTGGGGCTGGGCCAAACTGATGCTATCTTGGGGGTGTAGGTTGGTAGCCTACAGTGCTTAGTTTGCGTCACAGGGTGGGGCTGGGGCAAACTGATGCTATCTTGGGGGTGTAGGTTGGTAGCCTACAGTGCTTAGTTGGCGTCACAGGGTGGGGCTGGGGCAAACTGATGCTATCTTGGGGGTGTAGGTTGGTAGCCTACAGTGCTTGCAGTAGTTGGCGTCACAAGGTTGGTCTGGGGCCACCCGGTTGTTCCCTCCCAAACCGTTTATTCTGTTCGGACAAGTCCCCGACATGGCTGCAAAGATACCTCGGCTCAGGGCGGTCTCAGTGGCGCTTTGTGGGGGGATTCACTTTGGTCACGACATTCCCACAATTGGTTCAACGAGGATCTACAGGACAGGAGCTGTTCTGTCTGTGTAGTGCAACCCTCTGGTTTCCTGTCGATGTTATTGTAAACCAATTCTGTTATATTTTGGACATCAACAAACTTGACAAGTGGGTAGGATCACTTGACAAGCGGAACAATGGGAAGTACATTGCTTTTCGGAGAAATACAAGAGACCAACCAAGATCCCAAAACAATGTCTGAACCAAAATTACCTAGCTATAACACCCAAACCTACAATGAATGACTGGCATATATATATATATACGTATATATATATATATACACGATACGTAGACTTATATGTATGTATAAAATCCATTTCCTACAAACTAATACACGCTGAAGCCACACATGATGGGTTGGCTGTCTCCGCTTTGGCACTGTGACCATCGAGTTTTTTGGTTCAGAAGAACATGTGGCACTTGGAATGATGGATTGGCATGTTGGAAATGCGAATTGCTCAAAATGCACATCCCTACAAACAAAGACAATTCATGCTCTTGTGAGTGCAACGGCGCCCCAATTTAAGTTGCCATACCCTGGACAAAAACTTCCCAATCAAGGTCTTCTGTCTTCACGAGGGTGCCATGCTGAACTGCTACATCTTAGGCTCCCAGACCGAAATCAATACCCTCTGGTGATCAAAAATGGCCATTTCTCAGTTATAAGTATACTATAGTATACTTATAACCCTATTTATAGAATGTATAATCCCATTTATAACCAGTTATAGCTGGTAAATGGCCATAACTATCCCATAGAAATCACCACTTATAACTGCTAGCCATGGCCATAACATCATGGTGATCAAACGTGGCTCACTGGAACATCCACCAGCGAACGAACCATGGCTTCCTGGTTGGTGGTTTTTCGCCAAGCCCTCTGCACAAATGATGGAGTGAGTTCGTCAGTGAAGTTCACCTTATTTTCCGAAAATTTGTAAACAAAATGAAACATATAGTATATGGAAAAATGGATATATATATATATATGGAACAAATGGAAAAAACATGAGAAAAATATATGGAACATTCCCAACTGAATGGAAAGTCATTCAAAATTCCATGGTTCCAGTCACCACCAACCAGTTGTGAGTTGTTCAGTTCGATCCAGACATGATCACCGAATCAGTACCCGGGAAACCGAAATCCACTGATTCATCCTCCGACTCAACGAACGTGGATATTCAATGGTTTTGTTTAAGGGAAAATCTTAACCGGAAACCATGGTTTTTACCATCAACTATAGGGAAAATCATCTATAAATGTAGGTTTTAATGGTGTTATACCATCTGGTTATTTAACATAGCCATGGAAAATCCCTTATAAATGGAGGTTTCTAGCTGGGAAAATCATCTACAAATGGATCATGTTCCATGGCTATGTTAAATAACCAGAGGGTACATGATATTTCAGAGAAATCCATACCCTCTGGTAGACAAACAAAAAGCTTTTTTTTGAAGCCATGGCCCAGTCGAAATAGTTGATTTACCCATCAACACTTGATTTTCCAGAGCTTTTTGTATGTTTACCATTATCATATCATATTCAAAACATGATACAATTGCCGTCCTCATCATATCCTCATCATACCCTCTGGTAAACTAACATAGCTATGGAAAATCACCATTTTTCATGGGAAAATCCACTATTTCGACTGGGCCATTTTCCAGTTCGCTTTTTGTATGTTTACCAGGCCGGGTAACATCAATTAACCATGAGTAAAATGGGAAACCATGGGGGTTGCCACCTACAAATCAACCATCTCCTCATCATATCCCCACGATCCCTCCGCCGTGGCGGCGCCGAGGCGCGGAAGAGGAAGAAGCCCAGGATGTCACCGGAGCCGGCGCCGTCCTCTCCGCCCTCCTGCAGGATCTGCCTGCCGCTGCCGACCCGAAACTGGTGTGTTTTGATGGGGTAACGGTGAAGAATGGCTTGGCAATGGTTAGTCAGGGTATATATCCTCTGGTAATTTAACATAGCTATTGAAAATGGCCATTTATAGTGGATTTTTCCATTAAAAATGTTGATTGTCCATAGCTATGTTAAATCACCAGAGGGTAGTTACGGTGAAGAATGGCTTAACAATGGTTAGTAAGGGTTAATAATATTAGCAAATAATGATAATAAGAGTTGATAATGGTCAACCATGCTCAGTATATACTGTAATTGTTTGGTGCTAATATGTGCTAATAATGGTTGAGAAATGTTGAGAATGCTTAGTACTGATGAAGTAATGGTGAATTTATCAGGGACTGGTCAGCGAGGAACTCGCCGCCATTCTTCTAGCCCCTTTTTTGAGGGAAAAACATACGAGATTTGATGTTGTCATACCCACCAAGAGGACAACATTCAATTGCATCCTTTCTTTGGTAATCTGAACAGTTTGCCATAAATTGGGATCTTAACAATAACACGTTGGGATGGTGGATGGATAAGTTTGTGTGTTTACAATGCTTGGATGGATCAATTTGTGCAAGCCATATCACGGAGAATTTACCAACAATATTGTAGGTATAAGCAACGAAAATGGTCCTAAATGATTGTCGTTGATCATGATGATCCATTTACCTCAACAATAACCCCAACAAACTGGGGGGTATCTGATATACAAATCTTGTTTTTTCTATTGGATACCCCCAGAATTTTTAAAGCTTGGGGTGTTTGCCACTGGCTGAATCACAAATTTCTTCACCAAGGTGGCTGGAAAATCCACCGTTGACTAGCAGAGAGGCCCCACGTGTGATGCTTCAGTTGAATATGGCTACAAACATAGCGTGTAAGATCGTGTATGGATATTATAATGCGCACTAAGCATTGGGTAACTGGGGTATATCATGGTATAATTATCATAGTTGGCATATTACCATATATACCATGGTATACCATATATACCATGGTATACAATGTGAGGCCCCCCAGTTATAAGTTGGTTTAGATTCGCCCCAGTAACTAGTTCGTTATAGGTACCATAAACCATAGTTTTATTGGAGTTATAAACCCACCAACTTAGATATCGAACGGGACCTCACATGGTATACCATTTATATCATGGATAAATGGGTATCCATGAGTATCCCACGGTCATCCCTTCCATCAGCACGAAAGGCGCCAGGCGCGCCTCACGGTGAACAGACTCGCAGGCAGGTTTTCAGCTTGAAGGAACTGGCCGAAATTGAAGTCGGCCTGGGGCGTTGCCGGCTTTGCAGATTCAGAAGCATGGCTTCAAAGTAGGATGTGTGTTGCTTTTGAACTATTTTATATTGTTATTACTATCGTCATTCTATACTAGTATAATCTATCAGCATCAATCATCCCTATTGTTGTTATTACCTATTCAACACCTCCAAGAAACCATGGTAAGAGGGGACGAAACAATACATCTTTGGATGAATGGGGGATGGGTTCATAGGGTTATACTTATCCAATAATGGCATCCAATCCAATCAATGGAAGAGCCATTGAGTGATGATTCAAAAAGCCTTTGACCATCATAAAACATCATAGAACTGGCAAGTTATAGTAATTCAAAAAGCCTTTGACCATCATAAAACATCATAGAACTGGCAAGTTATAGTAATTCAAAAAGCCTTTGACCATCATAAAACATCATAGAACTGGCAAGTTATAGTAATTCAAAAAGCCTTTGACCATCATAAAACATCATAGAACTGGCAAGTTATAGTAATTCAAAAAGCCTTTGACCATCATAAAACATCATAGAACTGGCAAGTTATAGTAATTCAAAAAGACTTTGACCATCATAAAATATCATAAAACTGGCAAGTTATAGGAAAATTTCACCCCCCAAAATCGCTGAAGGTTCAAGTTTGGGATGATTCCCCATCTTTAGCGCAACGCCTTCAGGGCTCGCAGGATGATCTGCTGCTGCTCCGCTTCCAACTTGGCAAAACTGGGCACCTCGGATTTTCTTCGGGCGATGGCTGTGAAACATGGGTGGATTGAAGCATTGAATGGAGGATTGAATCCCATTTGCTCCATGGTGCTGGAATATTTAGCAACATTTGCCCGAACAAAATCACCCAGTCATGTAGGTAAATATACCATACATGGAGCATATGGGAATGGGGATTGAATGGGCATTGAATGGGGATATTCCGAAAAATGTGTAGCGTATAGTATTAATACCCCCATTATTCGGAATAGGGATTAAGTAGACTCAGAAAAGTTACCGGAAGATGTGAATGGAGAGATTTTTCAGGAAGAAAAATGGAAGATGACCTGATTTAACTCAGGAAAGTTAGATTAAATGTGATTTTATGTTCAGAAATTCGTGGAGCTATCTTTTGAGTAAATTAACCACAATTGTCATACTTGAGCCATCTTGAGCCATGTTCAACTCTGACTTTCCGATCATTATATCTACTGAAGATAGAAGCAAACATGGATGCAGTATAATAGATGGTTACATTAATTAATCCATATAATGGGGATATTAAGCCATCCCCGCAACCAACAGTCTGACCCTGGCCTTCAAGCCATGGCCGTCCATGAAGAGCTATTGATCACGATCAATCGTTATGAATCTAAATGTAGGTACAGGATGGGGCCCCAGTCGATAGCGTTCAGTTGCCGAACATAAGTGACTGAATTCTATGGTTTATGGTAGATATATGTAAATTATGATATAACTATAGTTAATGGGGTTTATAAACCAACTTATAGCTGGGGGGCGCCATCCTGTAGGTCTATACCAATGAAGCATCTGTACCATTTTTTATGATGGCTGCTAGGTCACGAGGTACTTAGGGGGCCATCTTCAATCAGCAGCTGCCCGTTGCTAACAATGGGGAAGATAAAGCAGCGGGGCTTGAATTGGGTTAAATCGGAAACAACTTACCCTCTGGTAAACGTTAACAAAAAACTATGGAACATCACCATTTTTAATGGGTAAATCCACTATTTCTATGGCAATTTTCAATAGCTTTTTGTATGTTTACCAGAGGGTAGTTTTTTTTCTAGTTCCAAGAAGTTTTATGGCTAAGGGTCAAAATTTGGTACAATGTGAGGCCTCCAAACGATAGCTAAGTTGACTTATAACTTGGTCAACTAGGGTTTCTAGGGGGATGAAATAAGTCTAGTATTCATGGGGCTTATAAACCAAAAAAACATCACTGGAGGGACTTCACCTTGTACCTCTGAAATTGGATAGTAGACATGACCAACATCTGCAGTACCATGCAGTTCCCCAGGGCCTCAACATTTGACCAAGGCACCAAGATGGGGCTGCGATGAAGAATTCGAGCCTGAGCCATCCAGCTATCGCTGCATCCGCGACTTCAACATCTTAAGAGCACCAGTTTCGGCACCATAAACATGCGCACTTCATCAAGAGAAATGGCTACATTATGGCTAGATACCCTCTGGTAAACTAACACAACTATGGAAAATCACCATTTTTGATGGGTAAATCAACTATTTCGACTGGGCCATTTTCAATAGCTATGTTTGTTTACCAGAGGGTAAATGGCAAAATGTTCCGTTCCCCGGGTCATTTTCGGCCATGACGACCTTCCCATCCCTGGGTTGCCACGACCAAGGCTTCCGTCGGTTCATCTTCTTCGGGGGCCTCGGTCAACTCGTGGTCATCCCAGATATTACCCTGCAAAGAAAACACAATTTCGCAGCTAGTGAGTATGTATATATATATATATATATATTATGATATTATATTATATTATATCATATTATATTATATTATAATATTATATTATACTATATTATATTATACTATATTATATTATACTATATTATACTATATTACATTATATTATATTATATTATATTATACTATATTACATTATATTATATTATACTATGTTACATTATATTATATATATAATTATTATTATATTATATTATATATCATATTATATACAGTATATAAAATGTACCATTCATTGTACAATATGTTTTCTACCAGACTACCCATCCAGCCTAGATTTCTTGAGTTATATGTTCATTATGTAATCATTATGTCATTAAACACACATGCTATGTTTCTTGCTTTAAAGACAGACCAGCAGACTGAGCAACCAGGCAAAGGCCGCACGGAAAGGCTTGATCTTTCCCACGTTCATGATCGCCACCTGAAGGGGGCCAGCGATAAAAATGAACATGGGGAAACTTCAAACCTTTGGAAACAAAAATATGGGGAAAGGTTAGTCAATCCGTTTATATATGTTTATATTATTTCAGTTATCGATAATTAATAGGATTTAAAAACTCTGGTGATTTCAAGCCACACATCTTTGAAAACAAAAGTTCAACACACATCACTTGGGATTGAGATGAATTGAGATTAATTGTGATATATTCATCATTCCGTTCTCAAGCATGGAGTATGATGCAAATGGTTTAAACTAAATTATGGAACACACTCTTGCACGTTAAAAAACCACCAGCCAAACGTGGGAGACAAAATCAAAGCCCCGACAGGACCTATGCAAACGTCTGTGTCCAGTTTTTTATTTTCTAACAGCCAACCATCAATACGGTATGACACCCAACAGAAAGTACCCTCTGGTAAACATACAAAAAGCTATTGAAAATGGCCATTTATAGTGGATTTACCCATTAAACATGGTGATTTTCCATAGCTATGTTAAATTACCAGAGGGTATCAAACAGTGATGTGCAAAATTACCGATATCAAATGATTTCATCCATGTTTGGATATATTTGGCCAGTTTCTTGGTGTCCTTTTTCTATCTGAAAAGCCACCACCAGTGGTTTTCACTGCCCATCTTTTGGGGTCTCCGGCATAGACCAACATGGCGCTCACCTGAGATTCAGCACATCTTGGTGGTTCACCCTTGTGATTGGGTATGAAACATAGGGTACACGGTATAGCTATCCATTGATAAAAGTACCAAAATGTGGGAATGACAGGTAACATACCTATTTTTTGTCACTGGCAGAGGGTATAGAAACCAACTGAAGCTGGTGAGATACTTCAGTGATGGTGATATGTGAGATACCTTGTCTCCTGGTGAATAAGCCACCCCATTTTTGGGCTTGCCCTATAAATGGATTAACTATCGATTAGGTCACCTTTCCACATTTATCTGGTCATGGCTATACATGGATTGTAAATAGAATATCGATGGATTGAACATGGAGTTTAGGGTTTCATCTATACAACCACGGCTAATCTTTCCACTCCAAGTAAAATTCCACCACTGAAAAAAGGCAGTGCCCACTCCACCCTCCCAAGATTGGAGTAGTCCATAATCCTGCCCAGAAAACAAAAATAGTTAGCTGATGTTTGCTCTCCCTATATATAAATATTATTCAGCAAAATCAACAAATTCTGTTCCTGGAATTTCCCCATCTTGGTTTCGAAAATCCTTCATGTTTGTTGGCCACTCCGAGCCTCATATATAATATATACACATCCAAAATTATACAACGTTATACATGTATATATAATATATTGTATATATATTATTGTATAATACATATAATATAGTGTATATATATGTAATATAATATAATATAATATAAGATCATATCATATCATATATATATATATTCCAAGCCACACTTGGGTCAAATCGCAACTCCAAGACCGGAGGAGGGGCAACGACTTACTCCAGGACCAGTGACCATGGAGTGACTCTTGGTCAAATGCACGGTGTTGCGCGTCCAGTCCTGCCAGGAAAATAGTGGATTTTCCCATTAAAAATGGTGATTTTCCATAGTTATGTTAAATTACCAGAGGGTAAGGTGATGGCCTTTTTAATGGGTTTCCTAGGGCTACCACGATCTTCAAAAATATCTGGCTAGATATGGCCAATGGACCCACCAAACTTAGTCTATTTCTAGATATTTCCAATTTGAACTGCTTCACCATCCCAGAAATGGATGTCAATGATTTTGAACCACAAACAAATACGGAGGTAGATAAAATCAGTGAACGTGCATCTTAGTTGGTATGTTGTTTCTTCATTTGTGCCACTAAGAATTGCTATAAACCTGTGATAACAAAGGTTATCCCGGATTTATCCCCCACTTTTTACTGACATTCACAGCTAACCAGTTAATACCTATCACAGCTATGGCATCAACCTAGGTCAATTGAGTGAACCTGGGATGGTCTACCAGAGTAGATATGGATGGTGAACATGGTGAACACTGGGGGGGGGGTAAATGGCATATTATAATATATCATATATGTCCATTCATACATAGATAATATTAATATATTTTTACAATAATATCTGTTCATGGGGATATGATGGGATATGAATCTATAACTGCAAATATGGCAGTATGTTGTCTACGTCTTTTGATACTTGTCTCGTTAGAGATATATTTGGTTAGACAGTTAGACATTCTTACAAGGGCTAACAACCCACGGACAAGAACACAACAACTATAAGCACTCACTTCAGGAATTGTTGTTGTTTTTTCTCAGTTATTCAATGTTTCTTCTGGAAATCCCTGGAAAATCCATGAAAATCCCAAGTTTTCTTCCTACCGGCTGGTGACCTTCCGCTGAGGTCGCGCACAGGTTTTTTGCTACGTATCAGCCATGGAGGAGAACCAGCCGTGGGATGGGAACGGGATTCCCTCTGGTAAACATACAAAAAACTATGGAAAATCACCATAGAAATCGTGAATTTTCCCATGAAAAATGCTGATGTTCCATAATTATGTTAGTATGTTTACCAGAGGGTACCTGGTATTTTGTGATGCCCCGAAGACATGACAAAACGTGGTGTCATCAAACGTGGCTAGAAAATCAGCCATTTATAGTGGATTTTCCCATGAAAAGCCCCATGTATAGTGGATTTCCAGTTGCCATGTTTGATTACCGATTACCGGAGGGTAATCAACCACTGTTTTTTGGTCACTGCTCACTTGATCCTTTTGGTATCCCATCTTTGGGGCACATGGAACCCTGCTCCAGAGGTCTAACGTGACAATGGAACACAATGAAACATCACAAATATATTATATAGAGATGATCTTCCATTCCATGGTTCCCGCTGAAAACTGTCATCTACTCGGTGGAATCCATAGATTGTCGTTCCCATACCCAAATTGCAGCTTAATCTCTAAGACTTCTGATTGATTTCCTGTAAACTCTTGGTATATTTGGTACCAGTATGACTGACAAATCCCCATTCTTGTCGGACCCAAAGGTCGATAACTCAGTAAGTCCTGCAGGTGTTCCCAGGAATTCTTCGACAGCCGATTGGAGGCTTCTTGTCCACGCACAAACCTCACAGTAGCCACGGAATGAGCTTTGGTTACTCTCCGAACCAATGGTTCAAAGAGATGTTGTTGAATGTATGTCGATATTCTTACACTATGGATCTAAGTATCTTCTGGGGGAATATTTGAGGTATGATTCAGGTGGGTTAATGAGTCAAGAACCTTCTCAGAAGCTTCTTGCCCCATCGAAACAAAACACCGACAGGAATCCGATTAACTCACCATGGGGGTCATGTTAAATCATCCCAGAAATTTAGGGCTACCCGGCCTGGTCAACGTTTACAAAAAACGAACTGGAAAGATCCACCCATGTTTAATGGGAAAATCAACTATTTCTATGGCAATTTTCAATAGCTATTTTGACATAACCAGAGGGTATGCCCAGTAAAAAAAACTGGATTTGGGATGGAAAATGATTGGGTTTGCACCGAGGTTACCAAGGTTCAAATAAGACATCAGGGTGATTGGATACACAAACAGCAAATGCATGGGTGTGTCTGAAAATAGTGTACCCCTTTTTACCCAATGGTTTTGCTGATCATTATCCCTATTAAATGGCTATTTCATTGGGAATATATCCTATTTTCAGACAAACCCGCATCTGCTCAAATCTGACAAGTGTTTAACGTGGCCATTGAAACGATTGAAGCATTTCCATGAGTCCATTTATGACAGAGATTCCCATGAACATCCCCATTGAAAGGGATTCATAAGAAAGCATGTGTAGAACATGAAGGTATCATTCCTGGCCACAAAACTCTGCCAAGATATTCCTGGGTTCATTTACGTGTGTTTCATGTTATTTCTCTTGCATCTCCATCTCCTGAAAGAATGCCCACATTGGTTAAGTTGAGAACATTTGTTTTGCAATCAAATATCCCATAGGATCCATGGTGCTGCTATATATGGTGCTCCATGGATCCCATCAATATACCCCAGTCATGTTAGCATTTTTCTACCAGCACCATGGATCCGTCATGGGTATAGAGGTTTGTCTCAAAGGATATCCCTAAATCGCCCAAAATCCAGCGGTTGATCATCATTTGATGGGCCCCAATGTCAGAGACACCCAACGAGACACCCAACGATCAGAAAGTGTTTGCGAAGCTGTAGCGTATCCCACTAT